AACAACTTCATACATAACACACGTATATATAGGAGAGAGATAGAAGAGAGACAGGAGAGAGAGATATTAGAACAATGGAAAGAGAACAGAAAGAGAAGGAAGGAGAATCATCGAAGCGTGCCATCAATATCGGCACAACAGTGACCCTAAATCAACTTATTCGTGATTTGAATAATGGATAGTTTCAATGTCTGTATGATGCTATCCATGTTTAAAGCCCTTCGCATCTCTTTCAATTCAACCAATCCTTGGTGACTCTAGACTATGATCTTCTAGAATAAATATGTATTTTATTGGAATCGAAGAAAGCAAGAGTAAAAAAGGATTTAGCAGAGAATTTCGAAATACATTAACTTTAGATGAAAATAGTTGCGATTAACGTGATGAGTAAAAACCATCCAGATAATTTATTTCTAGTACCAGATGTTGATGTGACATTAATCATAGCGCCCATTCCCGGATGATTTTTGCACCCATACTTATAAATACCAGCATTAGTGAAAGTAATAGAAATACTAGCACCTGCTAGAGTAATTGGAGTACTAAGTGCATTGGCGCCATTGGCTCCTTGACAAAAGTGAGGTATGGAACTATTTTGGCAGATTAATAACGGATGAATCGAAACGTTTGTGGTCAAATTGAATATTAATTGATTGTGGACGTTCAAATTTAAATTTGGACTAGTACTACCATTCAATGCGAGATTCGCATTGACGAACATTAGGTTTCCTTGAGGGCAAGTAAAATTCTGTACGGCTGCAATCAAAGTGACAGAATACGTTACAACATTGACTAAAACATAAAACAATGACGCAACAACGAATAGTATCGTTTTTAACTAGTGCTACCTGTATAGAATAAGTGACTGATTGATCGCTACAAGAAAACCGAATGCATAGAAAATCTTACCCAATCATGCATTTTATATTTCTTTCTTTTCGTTTATTTTTGATCTATCAACTAGCAGATGTACCCTAGTTTCATGAAGATCGAAAATTCTATATGTTTTAATATAGACCAAGGCCATATAATGAAACAGAAGATTGAAGGTTTCTTATATTAAATAGTATTTTCATGAGAAATTTGTCAGTGTGGCCCCATAAGAGACCTAAAATGAGAAACTCATAAACTCTGATTTTGATAGAATTGATAGAATGGGCAATCTGTTGATTCGTCAGGTTTCATCGATTTTTTTGTGGATAAATCTGTAGTACATTGAACAACGTGAAAAGTATAGGACTCTTGTCTTGTACTATACAGATGACTAACAAGTAAATTGTATTGAACGTCGATTCTATTTATTTTCAATAGTAGATTCTTTCGTTTCTTCGATTTTACATATTGATTTAACAATTAATATAATATTACCTTTTATGTCTTTCTGGGAACGGAATTTGAGTATAATTGATTGTTGAAGTGGTAAATGTTTTCGTTTGCAAGGAGCTACAGGTCTGTATATGCATTGAAATGAGCGAAAGCAAAAATGTGGGCATTTTTTTCAGACATGTTTATGCCGTATTCCAGCAAAACGGAACTCATCAAATTAGACTATTAAGAATCGGATTTTTTGATCGATGTATAGAATTTGCTTTTATTCAGCTTTTTATTTGTAAATGATAATATTTTATAGGCTCGATCCAAAAACATTTTTACTGATCACATAGTTAAACTATAATAATATAGATGCCATTTCGTATATTAAAGACGTGCGAAGTGGTTATTAAAATATGAGCCATTTTTATCACAGAGAGAGGAATGCGCTCCATCCTTCCCATCGCAAGTAATCGATGCACATCTCTGGTAGACTGATATATTGTTGAGGGTGTCATTGACATATGAAGAAAAATAACATCGAAACTCATACCTATACTTATATCCCTTTTTTCAGCAGTATAAGTCGTTTTTAGAGAAGAGATTTCTATTTCAGTGCTCACAGTGAAACACGTACGCTTAAAGTGAATTCTGTCAATGATGTTACAATAAATAAAAAAATGCAATTTTTGTCGATGGAAGGAAAAATATCTCACTCTTTCTTTCAGTTGGTTGTTAGTCTGCACGGAAGTGAATTTGACAATTTGCTATTGTGGTTGCCGTCGATCGAAGTTGATCTTGCTCTTGATTTGTGAATAATTTTTGAAGTACATTTAATTTAATTAATGTTTTGTTGTGTTTTAACATGTTTTGTATATCTTTCATGCATTTTCCGGTCATTTCTCCGCACTCGACATTCAATTCACTTAGTTCATGGTTGTTGCACAAGGCATCCATTATCACATTTACTCCGTTGTCTGTTAGAGGATTGGTGCTCAGACGAAGACCAGCGAGAGTGTCATTCTGTTTAAGCATTTCAGCCAAATAAATCATTCCCTTATCAGATATTTGGCACAAACCGATGTGAAGAACTTTTATCACTCTATTTTTACTTAAAACTTCGGCAATATATTGAACACCGGTATCACCGATGGGATTGTTACCTATGCAAAGGCGATTTAGTGACGAGTTTGCTTGTAGTGCGTTGGCTAGAAACTGTGCCCCTTTGTGAGTCATTTTATTGTTGGTGAGACTGAGGTAAGTTAATTTGGTGTTATTGCGTAGTGCCTGAGTGATCCAATGAACACCAGTATCCGTAATTTGATTTCCTGTTATTTGTAATATTGATAACGACGGGTTCGACGCAAGCATCTCTGCAAGATATTGAGCTCTTTCGTCCGTGATTTTGTTTGTATTAAGATTGAGATACAAACATTTCCTATCATTAATAGCTAGCTTTATAACAATCGGAATGTCATTATCGATTAATCCTTGTCCTTCAAGATCAACGTCATTAGTCATTGAACAAATTAGCTTTTCAAGTTTATCATTTTGATAAGTGCAAGATACCTGTTCCTCGTCTTTCTCGCAATGAGATGTCTGGCTCGTGGTCATATTCTTTATAGGTAGTTCAATAAGAGGAAATGGCGAATCAACTTGTTTCAAATGAATAATTTGAAGATCAATCGAAGGTTTTAGTTTACTAATAACTTCGAATTGTGTTGCAGGTAAAAGAAGAATTTCATCTTCGACATCAATATATAAATGTGATCGAATTTTTTTTTCCATTTTGACATTCAATATTGAACAAAGTTCGTGGGCCATTTTTACCAAGAAATTGCTCCGATTCAAGAACAGAAGTAGACCGAGCGCATGATGAGAATACCCACCATACGTAGAGCTTTCCAATTTCATATTGTTGACTGAGATCGAGTGTAACACCACGCCATATTGTTAGTTTCTGTGGTGGAAGTTTCTGGAGTGCACTAAGAATTAGTTTCAAATAAGAATACCAAGGTTTCAGTTTTTGTCGATTTTCAGTACGTAATGTTTTATTAAGAGCATAATAAAGGCATTCTTCTATTGGTTCCCATTCCATCGTGTAGAGAAAAATCGCGGCTGATTCATTTTGATCTAATCCATCAGCTGGATTTTCACAGTTCGACATAGCTACAAAGGCACGCCGCATAATGTCAGGACAACAAAATACAATCGGTTCAACCGCTTTCTCTAACGTAAGTAGTGGTAGTTTTTGATATCCTTCAATGGGTTGTAGCATTCTTCGAGGTTCATGATCTACGTCCAAAAAACGATCGTGTTTGTTGTCTGCTTCGTCAGGACAAGCATACTTTGCTGCCATTATGTTACTGGTGTTTTGACGAATGTTTTCAACTTGTGATTGCTATGAAATATACCGATTTCTTTTTCCTTTGCTTTTACAAGTTTCACATGCACACGTTTCTTCTTTTTATTGAAATACGAAAGAGAACGATAGTAACATAACCAAGCATACACGTTGTTAGCTCTCGTTTTGGGGATTATGTAGCAATGGTAGAACTAATATTTAGTCTGCCAAAAATAGAGAGCTAAACATGTTTCAATAATAGGTTTTGTCGTCGTATCATATATAGAATATATTAAGTATCGAGTATTCGATACGATAGAACATCAACAACTGCGCAATAGCGAACGAAAATCAATCACGAGGATTAGTCATAGTCGAAAATATTACGTAACAAATCAAAATAGAGATCATAACAACAGATAACACGAATAAACGTTTAGCGTCAGTGAGTGCCATCTACTGACGCTAACACACGTGACAACCCACTGCTGTTAGCAAAGAAAAGTAACTTGTAATAAAAATATGGTGTGTGGGTGTGGATATGCTGAATTGCCATCATAATCAATGAATTCTATCAAATTGGTGGTCAATACATGATCTTGAGGGTGCGGGTGGCTGCGGTTGTTGGCTGTTACAAAAACATCCAAAAGTCAAAACCCGTAGTGACAGTCACAGTCACACCCACGCTCATAAGTATTTATAATTGGTTGATGATAAATGAATATTTTTATTAAATAATAGACTCATTTTTTCAATCGGTGACATTATTAATTTAAAACGATCATTCATATTTGAAACCTGTTAATAAACCTTTTTTTAAAATTTATTCTTAGAATAAAAAAAATTCGTTTTTCTCTAATCATTTATTTTCTATTCATTTCATAAAAGAAACATCTATAGAGAATAGATTTTTATAAAAAATGTTCTCTTATTTCAATATTTTAAGCAAGAATATTTATTTGTTTTCATCTCTAATAGATAATTATTAGATAATAATGTAGATCTATTGAATTTCTTGAATCTTTTTCAGACCGATTTCTACAATTATTTCATTGTCTTTATCTTAATTCAAAATGAAATAATTATTTTATCAAATTAGTTTTATTATAGAAAGAAATATATTTTTGTTTAAACAGATTTTTTTACAAGAATATCATTTGAACAAAACTGTTTTTTTATCAAGTTTCAGGAAACGCTTTTGTGACTGATCAATTATTATCACAAGGATAAATTTAAAAACAAAACGATTCAAGTTTGAATTATATTCATTTCGGAAATCTTTAATAAAATTCATAAAAAATGCTTGCTTTTCTCTTGAAAAAAAATTAAAAGATTTTTCTTAATGATCGATTTGATAAATGTACAATTAACTTTGACGTTTCTTGAGACTTAGAATTAGAATTGCTTATAGATGTTTAAAATAAAAACTAAAATCAATATAGATTTGTTTACTTCATTTATAAATTGTATCATTGATATAAATCATGGATTCTTTCACAATCGTATTGATTTTGGCTATATTTAATTAATGAATTCAATAATTAATGATGATGCGTGTGCATCATCTCTGAACAATTCAATCAAACATTTTATTTTATCTTTTTATAATAAGAATATATTTTATTATAAAAAGAAACCTCTTGTTTAGACATAATTAATGTTGATGGAAGATATTTTGGAGGGATAATTGCAATTAGAGGTGCACTATAGTCAATTATTGGTAATGCAAATAATAGAACAACTGGAGCTCCAACACAAATATCATAACGACATTGTTCTAATATTAAATAATCAATACGTTTTAAGGAATTAACATCTTTATATAAAATTTATTTTATTTCTTTCTAATAGAAAAACAAAAGAAGCGAACTTTTTTCAAATTCGTTGAACAATTTTATAATTTTAATAAAGTAATTTTGGTCCAATCCAATAATGATGAAGAACAATCGAATACGAGATATTAAAGAATTTTTTCTTGATGTTTAAGTTAAACGATAGATATTTGAAAGAACTAGGATGTGGGTGTGGGTGTTGTGCTCTTCACCCAACCCACACCCACACCCTCAAGTTGCTCTGTCAATTCTTTCAATTTAAGATCGATATTAGTGGCAAATGTGATGGCGCATGATGAGCGTTCCTGCCGAGTATCTGTTGCCACTTGTCGAATCGTTTCAACTGATTCCCGTTCCCCTTCATCGATTTGTGCCAGTAATTCATGTTCCTCTGACTCGAACTTTTATCCTTCGACTTCAATTTTGAACCCATTACAATCATTTTCAATTGTACCTAACTGTTCACTCAATTCATTATGATGCTCATTAATGCGATTGAGAGAGAAATCTTGCGAACATCCACTACATTTCACAGTGTTTTTTGGTTTATACATTTAACACAAGAACTTTAGCCAACTAAGTTGGCAATGTGAGAATTTATTTTAGAATTGAAGAAAAAAATGAATGAGGTTTTGACAATTGATATCCACTCCGACAAGAAAAGAAAAAATGGCGCTTTTACACGTGAAAAGCACACCTTTTAATGCAATAGAAAAAAAACATTTTTGATGAGAAAAAAGTAACTGAGTGGGAGTCTGATCGTCTAGCATTCATACGTACCCACACCCTCAAGTCCATATAAGAAAAGTGTGTGAAATTGTTTTTTAAACTTCCATAATATGAATAAATTAATCCTATTGAGTTACAGGCTAATCTCGAATAGGATTAGAGTTATAATTGAAATACTTGAATTTTATGACAAGTATCCTCCTGTCTCTGGTTTTTTTGTATTTTATCATTTTTATATAATCAATTAATTGATTATAAGAAAAATTAACTTGACCGTAATTTAGCATACTGGCCATTGATAAATTGAATCAGCGACATAAAAAAGCGAACCATTTTTCTGTCTTTAATTTCTACTTCCTTCAGATATTTTAATCTGTTAATTTATCTGATTGTAGCGGAGAAAAATATTTTGTGGTCAATTCTTTGTTTTTCGATATCTAAACTAAATAACCACGCTTTATCTGCTGTAATATTGTAAATGTTTGCATTATGCATGGATCTTGTATTCGTTATACTTTAAGCTTATAAATAAATATTTATTTCTGTTCATCAGTGATCACAATACAATTCACTATAAATGTGTTTCCTTAACATTTCAAGATAATATATTTAAATATTCGTACATTGAGATTGAGAAAAATATGAGGGTGCCAATGTGGGTCTCGGGATGAACATGAAGTGTGACTCGCCTTCTGTCCACACCCATACCGAACATTGTATGCTTTGAGGATTTTTAGAGCTCATGAGAGCGGTGGTAAAGTTCAATGATAGAATTCGAGAGAAAAGCGTATTTTTTATTTCATAAATCATATATTAAAGTTTGAATGAGAAAAATTCAATTTTTTTGAGTGCATGAATAGATAATGAGATTATTGTCTTTCAGTAGTGTAAAAATTTTTGAACTCTGTGATTCAAACAATCCGTTACGTACAAATTAAGTTGAGAATCAAGTTTTAGAGCATATGGGGAAACAAAGTGATAAGCGTCAGAACCGGAAACTCCAGTAATGCCTGCTACTGTTGTACCATTCATTGAGCCAGCTTGAAAAAACTGGATTCTATAATTAGAGGTATCAGTCACGTAAATATTGCCCATGAAATCGATTTCAACATCATACGGAGAAAACAGCATTGTTGACGAATTACCACTCATGCCGTTGATATTACCTGCAACTAATGTCCAACTGGTAGCGCCGATTACCCAACGAACAATATTATTAGAATAATAATTGGCAATGTATAGACTATTTGATGTTACATCCAAATATATACCCATCGGATAATTTAACTGTGTACTATTTGTACCTGGTCCATTTCCTCCAGCAACTACAGTACCCGACGATGCATTGACAAGGTACCTCATAATCCGGTGATTCCAATTATCCGATATGTACAATGTGCCAGTAGTTGGATCCCTTGTTATATCCCGAGGGAAATGTAGTTGATTGTTTGCGGAACCGCTATAACCTGTGAGCAGAAATAGAAACACTATGTATGTATATTGCATAGAAGACCTTCATATGTTATATAAGTTGTTCATTATTTCAAAACATGAAATCATTATTTGGGACAATAAATTCAGTCAATAAAATATTCTTACTTCTTTTGTTACACTGAACTATGAACAAAAATAGTTTCCTACCTGTCCCGGCCACCATTATACCAGATGAAGCACCATATGGCCATAATTGAACTCTGTGATTAAAAGTATCTGCCACATAAACATTTCTATTGGAATCGACGACAACACCTTGAGGTGTCTGTAAAAGCGAAGGCCCGTTGCCAAGAGTGCTGTTGGGTTGCCCCGCTACTGTTGTTCCATTGGTGGCACCTCTGAGCCACTTCTGAACTCTGAAGTTATATTGATCTACAATGTAGAGTGTACCGTTGGGATCAAAATTTAAACCCCAAGGTTGATTTAGTTTATTTGGAGTGCTGCCAGAAACGCCAGTTACACCAGCTACAGTTATACCAGTGGCGTTCCAATTAAGTGATGTTACGACAGCTGTCAACAGAATTATACAAAGACGAAATATTTATTTACTCCTATAAAACTCGATACAGTATTTCGGCAGTGTAATGACATGAACATGCTAACTCGATATTAAGTTTGTCGTGTACGGAGAGCCGAGATGGCAGGTAGTACGAACACGATCTGAAGAAAGTTCGCCACCGAAATTGATCGCGGTATGCTATAGATTGATCTAGCTTTATATTTTTATTTTTACATATACTAATCCAAATTATAGAGTATGAAAGTTCTGATCAATTGAAGTGTTGAAAAACAATAGATAGCTATAGTTTAAATCGAAAAAAGTGTCTTTCAAGTTCGATATGTTATTGAATGGTTTTGATCAGAGCTTTCTTATTTGGCTCTGTAGTAGACGATAAAAAGAAAAGTAGATTTCATTCTAAAATGTGATCAGAGTAAAAGCAAGTATGTTACAATAGAGAAAGGCATTTGTTTTGAGAAGCAGCATCTCCTTGAAGAATACATAAATTGTGACAGTAAGAAGCATACGTCTGTTATTCGATACCTAATTTATAAAGTAAAGAGCAGCAGAAAAAGCTTAGTCGAAATGCCTGATACAATGCAACAGTGACAATGAACTTTAATATAGTATCGTCAACTCCGCTCTGAATTATTCGAAATTAAGTATATCGGTTTAGTTGAAGTTAACAATCGCATTTACACTACCTCTATCTATCTGAAAGCTTCACTCTGGTTCCCTTAGTATGATTAAACACAACATAATATTGAGAAAACTCGGCATATTTATCTTGGTAGTAGATCGATGTGTATTTTCCAGTTGTAGACGTTGATCGATTTTTCACTGTACAAATCAGTAATCAAGGGTGTGGGTGTGGGTGTGGGCCTTCCTTATATACCCCCACACCCCAAACCCACATCCACATCCACACCCTACTTATTATGTTGTACATGTTACTATCCAAATTTTTCTATGTGATGTTTGAACTAGATGACCATCTACTAATAAAGTTTTCATAAAAACGCATTGCTTCTGTCTTACCTGGTGAACAACTTGTTCCATTCCATACCATTGTTTGATTCTGTAAACATTCTTGTTGATAGCTTACTGTAGTGTAACTATAGGCAACATCACTTTGACAAACTGATCCATTATACACCAGTTGGGCTCGACAGGACCAAAGATTATCACTTGTACATAATAAATATCGATTGATATCACTTGACGAATTACATGATTTCCCATATAACGAATAAAGGCCAATTGTTTGTTCTATATAACCCACTCGTGAAGTTGATGATGTCGATGCAACAATTGTACCTTGATAGGACCAAATAGAAAATAGGCGGCAGACATTAGATGAAGTGTCATAATCAAATGTTTGACATTCTTGCGCAACTGAGCAGGTCATGGCACAGCGAATAGTTGAAAAAACATTTGACTGAACCGAATAAAGATCACTAATATTAGGATATTGAAATTTCATGCCAAAAGAAGTTAATTTAAATTCAACCTGGTATTGTTGTTGGTTAGTAATTGAAATAAATGATTGTAGAAATGCAATAGTGATAATCAGCATATTTTATGTTTAAGAATCAGAAGAAATGTATTTTTTGCAATATTAGTTAGCGAATAGTTATGACTGCCGATGAGTGACCTTCTATTCAAATGAAATGATATATTTTTTTCTCTCCATCAGATAGCATCCATTTAAACAAGAAAAGAAAAATACTTCTTCTTTTGTCTACACATTTTGTTTTGTTAACACTCGTTTCTCCTAAAGTGAAGAAGTGTGAGGGAATCAAATTTTTGAATACGAGTACGCGTTTCAAAATCGCGGCAGATAGCTAAAAAGGAAATGGTAATGGAAAGAGTATCGTGAGAACATAAATAATTATTATTTTAGTGTTACATGCTTTCAAGTTTCTTTGGCGACAAGTTAACAACAAAAGTAGCATAAATGGCAATTATCGATATTCTTGTTTTCTAATTTTAGTTGCATGCCAAAAATGGCATCAATTATATCAATGATATTGTGATGGATTGAGAGAGTGAGCGCCTCTGCCGGCCGGCATGATGGTATATTATGTCATCTGAACATCTCTAGCCGTATTTTTCCTTCGGCTACATCTGCTTATACACAAGAGAGCGATCACGCATGAGTGAACAGAAATAGGGAGGAAAATGTTACGCAATAGAATAATGGGAGTTAGTAACGAAGTGAACACATGACTATAGCGCAGAGGATAGCGTACCTGAAACGAAGTGTAACGATGCAAACTGTTTCAAATGTCATGTATATTTACTAATGATTTTGCACTAAATGTGGACGATATCGAAAGATGTAGTTTGGAAGAAAATGCTCAAGGCTGCTCGAGGTTTTATTTGAATATTCGTATATTATTGCTAATTTCATTGCCACAATTAATAGAATGAGTGCTCAGTTATATTTATTCGATACAATAAGGATGAGTGTGCGTGTGGATTTCCATGTATCATTTACCCACACCCACACCCTTTGATGAACGAAATGTATTATAATTCACACATATTGATGAAAATCAGCTGAAGGTTTTTTCATGAATCACGGATAAAAATCAATTAATGCCGGAATTAAGTGAAAAAGAAGCGTATGGGTGGAGCAACAGAGAAAAGAAAGTTGCGACTCCACTCGAACTCCAGTTTCGATTGAAAAAGTTGCTCCGCTTAGGAATCCTAGCTGGTCATCTCTGTCTACAATAGACCCTGCCCTGTTCTCATCTCGGATACTTGTCAAATTAATTAATTTATTGGTACCAATGATACTTTTTACTGTTATTCTACATAAAAACTGATCATTTCATCTATTTTACAAAATAAATCTTTTGTTACTGCGTATTTATATTCCTACATGAAAAAAATAATAGTCTCAAAATTTGAGACTGGTCCCGAAAACGACCATCAATTATCTATTGCTATCTTCATTCAACAAAAGCCAACCATGATAAATGTTCAGTGCCCGAAGTAAATACAAACTTAAAAATTACAGGGAATCGATAATAAAATCCAAACATCTAATAATATGATGAAGTATATTTTTATGCGAATTGATGTTACTAAAACTTCTTACACAATAATCAAAAGGACACAACCAAATAAAAGTCTCATCCATTGCTCATTCGCTACGATATCTTTAGAATATAGGATGATTAAACGAATCAAATGCTCAAATTCAACATAAAATATTTTTCTGTTACCATCGGATCATTTTTCTAACGCGCAGCTGTTAAAAAGTCGATATTTTATTTGGCTGATATTACATCTGGCATTTTGCCTTTATTGATGTCTTTCTGAATAGCGCTTATGATCTCAATAGAAAGTACAAAACACTTATGACAAACCATATAGGCTTCATTTTTCATATCTATGATCATGTTCTATAAATTAGATTAGCGTCAACAGATCATATAAGTAGAAGACGTTTTTTCAAAATAGGCATGAAATATTCCATGAATGTTCTCAAGACAAGACCAAATTATTGGGTCAACATTGCATACTGGATGGGGCATAAAAATGTTATAAGCATAGTTTATGATGAACATAAACACTCATGCGAAAACTATTTTCCCAATGGCTTAACTGCTCATTTGAATTTCGATTTTTGTTTCCGAACTTTTGACTTTCCACATTTTTTTTAATTATAAGAACAATGTTGATGAGTTTTATTCTTTAGTATACTAATTGAAGGTAAGAGGATTAAATTAACTGTTAGTTAATGAGTTTTTCTGTATCGTGAGGCATTTACTCCGTGAATGTCTCATTTTATAAACATCGCTATCGTTTGTGCATCAAACTTCAATAATGTCTTTTTGAACCGCAGTGTTCTTCACAATGAAAAATGTTTCTCTCGAATTTTCCACTCTGGTTCATATAAGCAGGCAGGAAACAAATATTATGATATTTGCCAATACTGTAACACTATAGAATAATTATTTTGCCCTCTAATCTGAATTTTTTGATTACAGATTTGTAAAATTCGTGTTCATATATTATTTCCTTATTCAGTTTGGAAAACACGAGCTCGAATGGTGATGCGAGAAAAAGCGAATAGATAGCTAATGATTTGTGATGCATAATTTTTATATATTCGTTCATATTTTTAGTTGAACAGTAATTCGAACAGAACATGTATTTCTTTCGTCTTAAAATTCGATATATCGCTGAACATCGACGTACACTTGCCAATGCGCGACTTAATTCAGCCACAAGATCAGATCAACGCACTGCTGGGGTATCACCTTCGGCTGTTCAGCTTCCAGTGCCAATGGCTCTTTGGAAACGATTATCACCTGTTGGCATAGTGAGTAAAGATCTTAAAAAAAAAAGAAATTTGCTTTTTTGATATTCTATATCAGTGTCATTAATTATTGATTGGGGAAACAGATTTCCTTTGATTTTGCAAATGCAGCAAGTCATAGAATTCTTAAAACAAAGAAATTAACGACTAGTAATTCATAGTTGAATAATGAGTTTTCTGATTAACTGCTGTAGAATATCGATTGTGTGCGTATTGTGTCGGATATTTTGGGTAAATCCTTTTTCTGTTTCTGTCATCGAATGCAGAAGAAAAGAAAGAAAGCAGGCTGTCTCTTGTGTCTAAATGAATGATCAATTGTTTAACACAACAACAAAACGGCAAAGAGAGAAGATATGAATAGCTAGTTGAAAACTCATGGGTGTTAATCAGAATGAAAAATTACAACGTTAATTAAACAAGAAAGAAAATATCGTGATTCGTTATTTTCAGTTGTTGTGTTTGTGCGAGAAAAAAGTGCATCGTTGACTTTTTTGTATTGTTCGCAAGCGTCGTATAGGTAATAACCGGAGTCATTCTAATAAAGCGATATTATTAATTGTATCCATCATCAGGTATGACGCTTTCGGCGATTTTATTTGATGAAGAAATTTATCGTAACGATGCGAAAATTATTTCTTCGCGAAAAAGTTTCTGTATAACTGACAGATCTATCCCAAGATCTTATTCGTTATGGAAGTACTGGGGTTGAGCATAGAATCGATCGAGAAACTTTTGGATTCTCATCAAGAATACTCTCTGACTTGATTTCAATAGAAGACGCCGGAATATTCTGACAGGGACAGAGACAATCTTATATATTGTCTCTTCTATGCATTTCATGTAAACCACAGCGTATGTACAGAGAAAATTAACAACTTTAATGTCGACCAAGGACGCTAACAATTAAATCCAGCAGTTCTATTTTCGGTATTTTTATTTAATAAAAACTATTTAATACTATCTTATTATTCTGTGTTGATACTAACATCAGCCGCTCTCTTTTCGTCTCATTCTTCATCATTATTGGCATGCTTGATATGATAAATAGATTCCTATGACAAATAATCATCGTTAATAAACCATGTCGTAGCTATCATTTGATAGTCGCTAGCGAGCATTCATTTTAAATTGGTATCGGCATAAAACCTATTTGTTTTCTCTATTGATTGTCATCAATAAACACCTACTTAGTTATGTAGAGTATCTCCTAAGAATAAGTTTGTTGAGATGTTACATTAGTAAAAAAGGAGAGTTATCTTGAATCGTAGAAACTGATATGTTTTCTTTCTGTAAATAATTATATGAATCTTTTGAGTTTATGACAAATGTCACTCATCCTTCGTAGAGAATTGTTCCGACACATGCATCAAAAGTCTATCAAGTTTCTTTTTTGGACTTTCTTTCATTGTACATATATAGCTACATAATGCTGAAATTAGATGTCATCAGTTGTCCACGTGAGATTTTTTTGCATAGCCGGTAAAAACAAAAGTTTATTGGATTAGCAGGTAATTACATATGTTTCTATCGAGAAAAAAAGAAGATCGTTGTCGGCGATGAAAAAGGAAATTCGTTGTATAGCTTAGATTGTCTAAATATTTTTCTATTCTGTAACGGGAGTATTTTGGCTAAAACCAATATTCTAGACAAGAAAATGACAATGACAATTGCTATTGATTGACATATATGCATATGCATCTATTCTATTGAATTGGTCCATTTTGTTTCTCGTTATTATTTGTTCAAGCGACTGTTGACAATATACGTACATAGAATTTATTAACAAGATGTTTCATATCTTTCGTTGGAGTCATAAGCGTAAAAATGTCAAGCAAACAACATCTGATCTTTCAAGTGGTGAACGATACACAAGACATTCTGCTCGACAATATCGCTTACGGGTACCACACGAAAGTCAATCTCGTTATGACTTAATTTATACGAAAAAGCTTCGATTGACTCCTGATAGTAATAAACAACAGGTAGTACTTGTTTTTTCCCCTTCTTCTATCTTCCATAATCGTTTGTTATTTTAAAATGTTTTGATACTTATTGAAGTGTAAAGTATCGAATGACTTCTTGAACATCAAATTGAAAAAAATGATTATTATTGTTACTTGTTGCCTAAGGAAGAGATCGAGCGTACGTACAACGAGTTTGACATATTAAGATAGACGTTAAATGGCATTAGTTACCGCTCGTCGTATCAGACTGCGGGGAGCAGCAAAGGTATTTATTGTTGTAACTTTATTTGTATGGAATAGAATATCAGCCGATCATAGTCGAGATTGGTTAAGACAACGTTCTTGGCATGGATCATCTTAAACGAGTTTTTACAATTCTAGCTTCTTTCTATTGGAAAAAGGTAAGAAGAGTAATATAAGAAACCTTTCGATTAAAGAGAATATTTTTTTTTAAATAAGAAAATGTTTTTGTTTTCGATTCATGAGCTACTCGAATATTGCTATGTAGGAGAAAACGACACTAATTATAGGGCAGCGCAGTCCTTTGTAGTAGTAGATATTATAAATAGATCGAAAGTAAAAGCTCGTGTTTAATAATATCAAAAGAGTTATTCGGAGTATATTTCCCGAAACAATCTACAGAATGAGATTGACAAGTGAACGACGGTATAAATTGATTTTGTTAATTAAAGTTAACATTTCTGTAGTGATCCTCGGACCTAAAAAAATCTTGTCAACTTTCTTACGATTCGGTTTTTCAAGGGCAAGACAATCGATTGTTCTCATTGTCAATTGAATTGTTTAATAATAAAAAAAAAAGAATTCTTCCATTACAAATAATATTACTTCCTTTCTTATTTCTATCTAAACAGATAAATCACATTACTAACGAAAATAAATTCTTGTAGTACTACAATCTAATTTGCCTATTGTACTGTTATACAAGTTCGAAAAACAATAAGCACATTTAATATTCCGAAAATGATTCTATTACATTGCGGAGATATAAAATAGTCGTGTTGCACTCGTCTCTAATTTTCTACACTATAGTTTGATGATGATCGAATGAATAAGTCACGTTACAAATTGAATAGTTGAAGTTTGAATAGGATGATCTCTGTGTTGCATAAACAATATCATCTTCTAAATGAGTATATCAGAGAACAATAAGAATACTCGTGTTTCTAACGAAGAATTTTATACGCTGTGTAGTTGATGACGCGACACATAATTATGCAAATTTTCCTCTTGAAGTATGCGGGAAAATCATAGCTCTATCTCATAACTATGAGATTTTATTGAACAGACAAAATAGTGAAACAATGCCAAAATGATCTATTTTCTATCAATATACTGTCATAAAAAATAAAACACATTTAAGCAAAGTTGTTTTGTTTTGAGCAAACGTCATTTTTGATAATAGATACGAAAATATTGAAAAGTCATGTATACGCATATTATCTGAGATAGAGTAAAAAGATAAAACAGTTTTATGTAACCATATTAATAATGATACATTGTTATTTTCCCGACTTCATCTATAACTATCGTTGACACACGTTTTATCAAGTAGGGAATATGCTTATCTTATAATGCTATCTCTTCTATGCAATTATATATAGAATATACGTCTCTTTGTTTATATATATACAATTGGCTGCTACTACATCTATCTATCTTTTTCTCTCGATTAGATCAATAGGTGACATATAGATTTTCTTTTAAAATTTGTTTATTTAACGATATTAATTTTTTTGTACTGTTCAACAAATGTACTCGAGGTAAATTATTTATGCCGTAACTTCGGTTATACAATATTGGTGTTGGTGACCTTTCCAGTAACTATTTTAAGCTTAGTTTACCATGAAAAAATAAGCCTATCGACTATATTAAAAGATATTTTTTGGATCATTGTTTTATTTCGATATTATCACTTTATTGACATAATTGTATAGCAAAGTCAATCAAATCAAAAAAACCTATGCGAATTACTTACTTTGACTTGAAATAAAGACAAAAAAAGACTCAATCATGTGGTTCTTTATCCTATGTATCGGTATCATCTAATGCCTTTCCACAAAGCATTGTTTTTCTTCTTATTCTTTTCTCTCTGTCGTTGATTTTTGTCACCATCTCATCAGAATAATCATCAACCTTATTATGACGACGCCTCTACATACGGTAACAATAACAGCATATGAGGTCAAGATACACTATATAAAAACGAAATGAAAGAATGATTATTATTGTATATAAAAATGATTGCAACAAGACTAACTTTAAAACGATACTCAGATGTAATATTTCATCGATCAAAACAAGCAACTACTACTCGACCTTCGCCTTATCATCCAAGACATCATCGAGCAACCAAAATACCTGCACATGATATTTCATTTATTGATAACGATTCAAATGATAATTTTGAAGATGTTGATGAGACGACGAAGGTAGAAAAGCCTCTTATTGTTAATTTTTTTTCTTCTCCGTCTATAACACAAACATAAATCATAGGAGAAATCAGAGCGTTTTTCTTTTATTTCCTCTAAACGTTCTCAGTACACTTGCGTACGTTAATTATTTAAAGAAATAATCAATAAAATAAAGATGATGATTGATATAAGAAAAGAAATCGTTTCAAAGAATAATTTTTTTAAGTTTCTCCAAATTTGACATGTTTTTTTTATTCTTTTTGTCAAAAACAGTGACTTTTTCTTTTTCTAATGTGATCTTGAATGGTTCGGAACACATAAAAGCAATAGAATAGACAAAGAAAAGTTTAATGTTCAATTTTTTTTTCTGAAAAAAGAAACCGGAGAAAAGATTCTTTTGTTGTTTAATTGTCAATCATATACTCACGCATATAGAAATCAAACTAATGCACTTTGTTTTTAATCCGTCCGAAAAAAATCACCAACCGCGTCAGTTAAGCGCAGTTTTTGCACAACCAAATCGTCTTTCTGCTTTAACTTATTCTAATCTTCTATGCAAATCTACGTCTGATTTAACTGTTGATCTACCGTTTATTTATGCAATTCCACAACAACGACGATCTGAGACTAATACATCTGTGATCTTTGCATTGGGAGAAACATTTAATTATTCTAGTTTTTTTTTGTTCATTAATTTAGTTTAAATATACTGACCGAACCGCTCATGGATCACAAGCACGTCCGGGACTTTCGGCATATGGACGTATGCAAGCGCCTATACTATCGTTTGATGACGAAGGAGACATTCCAATACCTGAAAAGCAAACGAAACGTACGAAGACCTTGCTTTTTTCATTCAATAGAAAATGTATCGTTGTTTTATTTTTTTTTGTCTAGTTTTTCCTTCGTCTTACGATGGGCAGCCTAATGATTCTGGCAATCAATTGACGATTTTAAAACCAGGCCCTGGTAGTGTATCAATTGAACGAACACGAAAAGGCAAATTTCGACATGCTCTACGGACTGTTTCAAAAGTTGCTTTTAGTCAATTAGGATTAGGTAAGCACAGTAAAAAAAATAAATAATTACATATTTCTTTTTATACATCATACGCTTACCGGAGTTTCAAGGAGAATTCTAATTCTTGCTTAAATCAGTTTTCATCTAATTTTCTAGGTAGTTATTGTGTACATGTTATTAGAAAATCGCGAAGCTTTCAACTATTTTTTTACTGAAGTTTGCCCAATTATAAAGATGTCCATTAAGCTGCAATCGTTCTTAGCCAACGACTAGAAAATACTAATAGCTTTAACAAACAAACAAATCAAGAAAAGACATGCTCCAGACAGCAGTACAAAAGGGAAGAAGCGATTCGAAAGACTAATAACACGCTGTAAAAATGTACCCTTCGTGATCGATGATAAAATTATTGTGTTGAAAAAAGAAAGCACTGTCCTTCTTCTGGCAAGTCATAATGTCGGAGTCTTTGTTGCTTGTTAAGAACATTTGTAATTTGTCTCTATTAAATATGAATCTACGAGAGACAAATATACGGGAAAGAACGCATAGGATTGAAACTGTTCGTAGTTCTTTATCATGCAATCACCAATTCTGAAGGCTTCATAAATTTTACTATGCAATAACTAAAAATCGTGTATTAGAGTTCGTCTTTGTGACATGAAGTTAGACTTTTTGCTATTCGGATAAACCACATTGATTTGTTTGTTACAACCACAATACGGATGTCATCGCATCAGATGACAACTTTCATTATAGCTACTCGATGAAAGAGACTTTCAATACTTTGCAGAACGTCTAGATACCTTCTAAGCTGTTATTATTTGTTCTTTCTTCTTCTTCCGTTTTCTTTTTATCATGTGCTCTATTAGTCTGGCAATCTATATCACTTTCTTTGTGTGGATTGTAACAGTCAAAGTACCATAATAACATATAGATAAATTGCTTTTCAGGATGTCTTGTCGTTGGCTATGTCATTCTTGGCGGATTGATATTTGATGCCATTGAATCACGTTATGAGCTCGAACATTTAGAAGAAAAAGAAAAAAATCGTCAACATTTTGTTGATCAATTATACTCACATGCTTATAGAGAATTTAATCGTGTATTAAATCAAACATTTGAATTAAAATATGCGCTCTGGCGTGGTGGCATATCCCGGCATGATGAACATAATAATGGCTGGCAAATAGATGTAGAATCGGATCTATGGAAACGTCTTATTGACTATGAACTATTACAATATTTTGGTGCCGAAGAAAAAACTCAATACGGTAATGATCAACAACAACAGGAACAAAATACGGTTGAAGTATGGACATTTTCTAGTGCTATGCTTTATTCAGCAACTGTCATTACAACAATCGGCTATGGAAATATTACGCCGAAGACTACGGAAGGAAAAATTGCAACAATGGTATGAAAAAAAACGATGTCAGATTTTTTGCTTAATTTTCCTATTATAGATTTATGCAATGCTCGGCATTCCGTTAATGTTTATGTGTTTGACCTATACAGGTGATTTATTGGCTGATGCTTTTATAACTGGTTATTCAAAAATAGTTAATTTTCTTTGTCGACGTTTATGCCGTAGGCATTTACGATCTTGTCTATCGCTTCAAGGAGGGCAAAGTTTAGAACAGACTGAAGTACGAAGAACTTTTTTCATATAACTTTCTATTTCATATTCGTTTTTGTGTTTTAGAATGAACGTGAAGAAACGCGGCATGTGCCTATTGTAGCTACATTAGGCGTTCTTGCGCTTTATATAGCAATGGGTGCCTTTCTTTTTGCTCGATGGGAAAATTGGCATGTACTCGACGGAGCTTATTTTTGTTTTATAACATTTACAACCATCGGTTTCGGAGATCTCGTACCCGGCAAAGGTACTTTGGCTGAATCGAAAGCAGGTAAAGCAGCAATATGTGCCATATTTCTCTTGTTCGGTATGATTGTAATGGCCATGTCATTTAAATTAATGCAAGATGAAATTATGTCAAAATTTCGTAAAATTGCAAGACGTTTTGGTATTATTAAACAGCATACACAAGATCCGAGCTCAAGCAATCTAGGTTAATTCCTTTTTTTTATATCAATAATTGCTTTTTATTTGCTTGTCTGTGATTCTCTATGCATGTGTTTTTTTTTCTGTGCTCCTGTATTTTATATTTATTGTTGTTCAGCATAAAAAACAAAAATCGAAAGTATCATCACTATTTTTTGTCATTTTATTTTAATTTTAATGATGCAAATGTTACAAAAAAGTAGATTTAAACATTTATGTACATTGTGGATTTGTTTTTATACTTTATTAAGCAAATAATAATAACATTTTGTTTTTTTGAAATAGACCTCATCATGTTAAAATATATTGATTTAATGGTGGGATAAGTAAGATGAGAACATTGAAATGGAGATCAAATGCTTTGTAATAGACGTAACTGATATTTCACATCATCATCTCAAAAGTGAAATTTCGAAAGCATATTGAGACGGACTAGATTTAATCAGGAAGACTAAAAATAATTAAAATGGCTTGTTCGTCAATTTTCTAGGAAGACAACCCATTGTAAAAATAACCTATGATTAACAATCAATGTTATACAACTTTATTTTCTATCTATGCATTGTCAACACTAATTACAGACGTATTGAAGGTTCTGTAAAAAATGATCCGACGACACGAGAAAGTCTTTTCCGGAAAATATTTTGCCAGAGGACGCTAGAAGTCGGAACTATGGATATTGACAACTATCTATGCCAAACGGTTAATTCATTTAACCTATCAAAATTTTGCTTTTTTTTATAAATTTTAATTTAGTTATTAAATTCTTTTGCGAGACGAACGGTAATTTTAACGCTCATATTTAAATAATCTAATGCCTGTTAGCCGTCTCAATAGTTGAAGCACTAATCGCGCTTGATAAACATAAATGCTCATTGATTGTGACTTGACTATTACATTTGCAATTGTTGACTGTCCGAATCGATCGATGTCGGTTACTTGGGGGTAATCATGTACTCAGTCGTTCATTGTTTTTTTATACATATGTTTGTATGTTTGCTTACCCCTTTCGTCTAATTTTATGTCTCGACCCTAACACCTGTTTATATATATATATATATACGCACATACAAGTTTAACTTGACCTTTTAATATACATATTAAGCGTCAGCTTGAATGGATAAAGCGAAAGAACGTTTCCTTCTCCTGATTTCTGCTAAAATGTCTGGAAGAGAACGGAGGGGGAAAAGTGAACAGTATTTCCATCGTCTCATACATTTAATTGGATACATATGGAAGGAGAGAAAAGCCTTCGTCTCTCGTTCTTTGAAAGATGTTTAATGACTGATCAAAAAATAGAAAAGAAATCCTTGTCGTGTCTCATTTTCTAGATATGTAACACAGTATAGAACATATTTATAAACGACAAATACTCGCAAACGTATGCAGCAATATATTATGCAACAACGACAGTCATCGAAATGATAAACGTGATAATGATATTTTTTATACAATTGTCACATAATCACAACAATGTTATAATACACAAATGTCGAATAGAAAAAGGTGAGATAGACACAAGATGCTATAGCATGTTCGCGATTCTTTTATTCGGATCAGACAGACAATTTAAGATGTAATAGAAAAAAAAATTAGTCGACTGTCTACGACGGTCGTTCTTTTTCTTTTTTTTTCTTTCTCTTTCTCTTATTGCTTCTCTCGTTCATTGAATGTCAAAAGAAGACGAAAAGAGAATTATGTGCGTATGTGTGTGTGTGTGTGTGGACGGAGGTCGAGAAGAAAACAGCATGATGATTTATCATGTACCATTGACCGTAGTCATCCGCCACCCATCATTTTTATCACCCTTGAAACAGTAGATCATCTCTATTTTCTATTCTAGTAAAATTGTTCGTAGAAAACATGTCTTGTATTTTTTTCTCCTTTTAACACTCGTATCGGATTTCTTTCACAAGTCACAAAAATAAATAAAATACTTTTGTCTCTTCTCTCTCTATCTCTCTCACTCGCCTCACATGATTCGCCTCTTTTATTTGAACTACAAATTTACCTATATGTTGTAAGAATAAACTGTCATCGTTGTCGAATTCTTTTCCTGTGTGTAAGCATAACCGTATATTCACACGTAAAGAAATCAATCGAGCATCATTGATGATATATATATATATATATATATATTTCAATCGACGGTAAGGTGAATGGACCTTTTTTCCTACTAATATATCATTATGCATACACCAAATCGATCAGAAAATGAACATTAGTGATGACATTGATTTTTATCATAAATATATATGACCGAGTGCATAGTTCACTAGCCTCATTTTGTCAAAAAGAAAAACTATTGTTCTCTTTTTGCCCTACATAGAAATCAATATATGTACATAAAGTTTAATCATTTTTTCATCTTATTCAATGCAGTTGTAACATACTTAGTAGTATAAAGATCCGCCCTCGATCCTTGAACATACATCATCATCTATTCATTTGCTTTATTTATATATATTTAGATAATGATGTACAACAATAAAACAATGATTTAGATTATATATATATATATATGCAGCATTATGTCAACATTTCAACAGAATCCATTGAATAGTTTATCTCCAATACTTTTATCGCCTTCGACAACAACGATAACAAATCATATTTCGTTATTTGACAATAGTGATCAAGGTTCAGTGGATTCCGATTATACGTCATTGGGCAGTTCGAAATTTTACGCTCATAGTGGTTCAACCTCATCACTGAATCGTCAGGGACGTTCACAATCAATTGATGAATTAGCATCATCAATAACAACGACGATACCAACAAGACATTTTAATGGTTTATTAAATGTAAATAAATCAAATAATGACCCGTTACAATTTGTTAAAATTCATCCCAATCATGATCTAATTGAACGTGCACAAGAACAATTATCACTGGCAGAGTCACGAAAACGTTTACAAGAAAATTATGAAATAACAAATAAATCAAATGCAAATAAAGTTAATGATGAGGAAAATGATTGGTCAAAGGTAAAAAAAATGAATTACTTATCGATTGTAGAGAAAAAGAAATAAAGTACATCGGCATCCTATTTTTACTGTCTAACAATAGAAACAACAATTCATTATACACTTCGTTTTATAAGGCTTATTTCTCTTTCATTTACGCACAAACAACACCTACAGATGTTGATAAATAAATAATAACCATTCTGATTGACAGCGACTTTTTTTTTATCTTATCGTTATGTTTTACGTTCAAGATGATATGTCACCTAATTATATATTTCTACCCAGTGTATTTATATAAACCGGAAGTAGGGCAAACGTGTTACCTAACCTTGCGTTAACAACACTCTTGCCGATTCTTGATTGTTTATTTTAGAGCGTAGTAAAGATAATAATCTTTCTTTTGTTTGAAAAAACAAACTTTTTTAAAGCGATAAGAGAAAAAAACCAACATGACTCTATGTCTTCGTCAGTTATTATTTTTATTGTGATTATTATTAAAATAAAGACGAAGAAAAAAAAGCATTTGTTAGTTTCTCACTTGACATTGTTATATCAAAGATCTGTATTCGCATAAATCGATCGTTTTCTCTCTGTCTCTATAAAATAGTAAACAAAAGAGAAAGTGAAGAATAAAGCAAAAAAAAGATTACATTCTTTCTTCTCTCCTAGTGTGCACAGCGCACCTCACTCGAATATAAATCAAGAAGAAAGCCTAAAATTGTAATGTTGCAAGCGAAAAGAAAAGATATGGTGGCGGTGGTGGTAGTCCTACAGTGCGCTCGCATTCATTTTTAAATCAATTAAGTATGCTATACACTTTTAAATAAATCCTATGAAGAATTTTTCAACATCAACGGCTATGCCTGCTGGTCGTATGAACAATAATGCATTAACGTCATCGTCTCACATCAGGCAGAGCGAAGTTTTTGAAGATTATTCACAAGTGCGTGTGTATGGAAGTCAAGGCTTTTTTTTCTATTGAAAATGAAGAGGTAACAGTCGTCGCTCATTACTGCTGTTATCTTGGCATTCTTTTCCTAGCTGAAAACAGCATTCTTCCTTGCCCTCTCTTTTTCGAAACAAAAGAATATATACGCATCGAACTTGATGAATTGTGTAAGACGAGTATGTGAACAAGATAAAAAAACAAGGGTGTACATGTACATGTAAAATGGGCTGTGGAAGTACGAAAGTAGCGTTCGATGATGAAAAAAATGTGAGTCCCTATTCCGATGAGAAATTCAAATTAGGATAATCTTATTATAGAATTGAGAACTATTTGTATTTAAGCTATTGAAAATGTTTCGAGTTTAATATTAAAACATTTAGGCTGTTGATAATTGGCGAAAAAAACGTGAACAAAAACGTTTGAAAAATGTTAAGTCAACGGATCACTCGGACGACGATCAACCGATCATAACTTTAAAAGCTGAACCGATTTCGAAGTAAGATTAATATTACGTAAGTATAGAATAATAATTATAATGTATTACGTAGACTTCAAGAAACAAAAAAAACAATCAATGAACCTGTGGCGAAACCTACACGTATGTTATTACCCCCGCCGCCTGTACCAGTTAAATCAAAAAGTCCCTCGCCTCAACGTATTAAAGTACGAATAGATGATATTTAGCAAAACAATAGATTATTGTTTTTTTTTGAATATAGGGTCCAGCTAAAATTCGCGAAATATTCATTGAAAAACCTATTGATGTACGTGGATTTGGGTTTAAACTCGAAGGTGGTCGCGTACAAAATCGACCTATTTATATTTCGACAATTGAAGAAGGTTGAAAATATTGAATTTTTTTTGTTGTTGAATGTTGTTCTTTTTTTCCGTACTGTTTAGGTAGTCCTGCTGATAAGGCTGGTTTATACATTGATGATGAAATTGTATCAATGAATGATGAAAATATTGAAAGTATGTCGTTTGATCAAGTACGAAAAATTCTTAAAGAACGAAATTTACGTGGAAGTATTAAACTGGTTGTCAGAACATTCGAAGGTAAATATAAGAAAATCTATTGAAACGATAATTAACATATGGGAATATTTCTAAAAACAGCGTCAGATGGTAGTAGTTAATCTAATAGTCGATTATGTCAGAGTTAATTATTGCTGATTTACGAGCGTTATTGCCTATAATAATACACTTCATAAAAGCATTTCTTTTCGAATTACCATTCTGATTTCTTATTCTTAACAGATGTAGCCGATGATCAATCTCAAACAATCACAACAGGACCTACCACTGATCATAGTCGAACGCCATCGCCTCAAAAAATAACATCTCCTCTTACACTGCCATCGTATTCTGTTGCAACACCTAAAATAAAGTCATCGATACCATCACCTGTTTCGTCGTATATACAATTTAATCCGATATCTTCATCTGATACAACAAAAGTATCTCCATTACAACAAATACCTACCTCATCATTGAATATATTCACACCAAAACCGTTTCGTTCGACGAATTCAACTAATACTAATGAATCAGTAAGAAAAGTTTTTCTCTCGTTTACTTATTCCTTTTTGTTCGCTCATAAACTCAGGAGTTAACATTTTCCCGAAAAGAATTATTGACTTTAATGGTAATCAGTTTTCTCTCTCTCTCTCTCTATCTCGCAATCTGTACACTTAGTGCATGATAGAAAAAACAAATGTCCGTTACTGCTTATTGTCTCTTTCATATCTATTGAATATGCATGGCTATGATTTTTCTATCCTTCAGAATCATTCGTCGTCAATTGAAACATTTCGAAAAATGCTTAATTCATCGAATACCAAAACGTCATATCTAAAGAATGAGGTAGTTGAATGTGCGAGATTTAACAATGGCACGTCCTCTATTTCGATAACATCCTAAACACTAATCAACGATTTTTATGCTCGATCTAATGCTTGAATTTTCCATCTGATCATGCCAGGAAAGCATTGAATCATTATTAACTATGGGGATTGTATTAGTGCATGTTTCAATATTTAGTTAAAATCAACACTTGCTTATTGTATTTTAGAAACATAAAATCTACCGGTTGTTCTTATTTCTAGAGTATTTATGATAAAGAACTTCAAGATCTCGAGGCTGAATTTGAAAAACAATTGAGAGGCATTGATGAGACACCAATACGAGAGGTATCATTATATCGCTTTTTAATTAGTATAGATAGAAATAGATTCTTTATTGTTTTCAATACCATACTAATGAATTCTTCAGTAGATGCATGACTCTTACCTATGTTGTTTGGTTTCGTTTCATATTACAGTTGTTTTTCATTTTTACAGACAACAATTAATAGCGACAAACAAGAAACAAATGTACCTAAACCACCAACGCGAGTCGTAGTAAATACACGTATGTTGTTTTTCACATGAGAAATTTTCCATTTGAAAATTGCTTTTCACTTCGGGCTGGACGCATAAGATCAGTCTCTATGAGATTCCAAAGTCCGAAGTAAAAAAAGGCAATTTGAACTTTGGAAACGTTCTTTTCGTAAAACGTGCGCCAATTTGAAATTTATTCCAGCTCAAACACTTGTTGATCAATCACCACCGGTACCCCCCATTGATTCATTTGTACATCGAGCTCCAAATACTGATAATACAGGAAAACAACAGCGTAATGATACTCCTATCGCTCAAGTACGTTCCTATGTTGAAAAACAAATGGATCAACTTCAGCAGGAACTTGAATTTGGTTTTCCACGTTCAACAAAAGTACCCTCATTAACATCTCTTGTTCCTGCACCAGCACGAGTATTTAATTCATTGGGAAAATAATTTTTATCTATTAAAATTTTTCTCAACATTAGGAACAGGAGCCGGTGACTATTCCAATTGATCTAACAAGTGCTTCGCCTCCGCCTGCGCCTATTCCATCTGAATTTCTACGTTCATCATTAAAAAAATCTTCTTCAACACAAAATCATTTGGATCGAATTCCATCCAATCGAACGTACGGTTTAAAAATCGATCCCAATGAACAAGTTATTCATTATCTCGATCCTTATGCACAACAGAACTATACAAAACATTCTATACCTGATCTACCTTCAATGAGAACACATACATTTAATGATTTAAAAGCTACTACGCCCGAATCTTACTCAACACAAATAATTAATCAACAACAACAACAACAACAACAACAGAAAAAAGTTACGATTCAATTAGGTGGAAGAATACCACAGCAAAGAATAACAAAGTAAGAATGACTAATGGAAAAATTTAAATAAATCTTTATATTTTAGTAAACAACTACATTCAGCATTAAATCAAACACCACGAAAAACTCATTTTCATGATCAAATATTGATCAACGACGAGCCAAGAAAACAAACTAATGTTAAAACTAGTGGTCGCCGTTCTGCACCACTTGCACCACCCCGTCAAGAGCTGCAAATGTTTAATTATCAAGGACAACAACGAAGCTCTAACGTATCACCAAATCGACAATCTCGAACGTATGTTTTATTCGAATTTTCTATGTTTTGTAAAGCTATTGTTTTTTTTCTTTTAGAAAATCACCAGCTCGTACTATGATGGAGAGCAATAATGATCGAGTTTTATCTGTTAGCGGAAAACTTCGTTGTTCTAGATGTACTGATGAACTAGGTAAAATTATTTTCATTCAGTACGTTCATTTTATATTATATTAATTTTAGGACAAGGTTCGGCTATGGTTATTGAATCACTCGGATTATATTATCATATCGAATGTTTTCGTTGTTGTGTTTGTAATATTCCACTTGCATCGTCATTCGAAGGTACCGATGTACGTGTACGAAATAATCGACTTCATTGTCAAAATTGTTTCTCCGATGATAATGGTAAGAAAATTTTGATTGTAATTTCTTTATTTCCTTCCTCTTCAATAATCGAATTCGTCAATCAATCAATTCCTTTCCCTAACTATTTTCATAGGAACCTGGAGATCAGATGTAAGAAGAAGAAGATTTTTGCCTTTCTTCTTCGTTATTTTTTTCTTTTGCATTATTGCCAAACCATTTTAATGCTTCGACACATAACACTTCATACACACACGAACACTTAAGATTCATTAACAATGGCAAGTGTGTACTGTCAAATCGAAAGTTTATCTATCCTTGACAAAGGTTAAGTCAATTGAAAATCGTTGTCATTGACTAAGATCAACAATGATATTCACGATTTTATAATTGGATTGAATGAATGTCAATTCGGGTTAAATTTAACAACAATGAACTATTGAATATCCGATAAAGTTTACTACGGTGAAGATTAGTCTCAGCAAAAATAATCTTTTACTCAATCCCGGATAATCATATCCGTAGAAGGATTCACTTTGTTACCTCCCATAAAAAGTCTTATCTGTATAAACTCGTTGGCACACAGGATTGACCCGACCGGAGGTGTAACATCGCCCCCCCCCCTCCCCCATTCATTTAAAGTTTTCGTCTGCTGGCATACAGCGCCATCTATTGAAATGCAATTCTTACTGAACAGAACACAAGAACTTAGGGATGTTGCTCACCCGTCCAGAGTGTACCAAATATCCATGAGAATTCAGTATGTACTAATGAAAAGTTCCAAACAGTTTTGTTTCCCTTTTAGCTTTTGATAATAAATTCGGAATTTTCCCTCGTAGAATACGATTTAACAGTACACACATACATCATTTGTAATTCACTCAAACGCACTTGTCACCGATAAACATTCGTTGTCAGAATCAAACCTTCAGAAAAGCTCGCTCATTTAAACTAATATATTTTGCTTATTTCAGGAAGCTTTATGTTACTTTATTCTTGTTTGTGTTTTTTCGACGAGGTTTGCCATTATCTATATCATATTAAGGGGTCTTCTTCTTCGCATGTTTAAACTATTAACACTTGATAAATTTTCTTGTCGATAAATTTCATTTTTATATTTCTCTTTTTTTTTAGGTGTGAAATTGAGTGCTGTTTAATAATATGCAAAAAAGAAATTAGAGCAATCTACTTTATCAATAATCGAACGCCATGAAATCAATATTCTTTTGTTTTTTAACATGAATTCGGATACACCTGGAACCGATATTCCACACCGATATGTGGTTTTTGCTCAACAAGAAGAACGGATGAAAACTTTCTTCTTAATGTATATCTGAAAAATGTTTCTTTTATATAAATATACGTTTCCGTTTTCATGTTTTTTTTTGTAAAGTTCTTGTTTTACTATATATATATATATGAAGAGGCGAACAGTTTGTTTCTTGCTTTGTTGTTACCATTGCAGTTCGTCTAGATTGATTTTTGTTTTCTTCTTTTCTTTTTTTTTCTATTTTCAGTTTTATATCCACAAAGAAAACGAAACAAAAGCCTACGGTCTCTATCTTCTATCTGTTAGATTTTATTGTTTTTATTTGCTAAGAAGAAAAGAAATACATAGATTGAATAAGTCATTTGAAAAGAAAAACATAATTTTTGTAGAAAATGCTCTATCAAGAAGTCTATCGTCTTTGGCAAATACATCAGAAAACGAATCGATCCATACGAAGTCTTGTTGCACAAAGTTTATATAAGGTGATTGACATCTTTTTGATTATGCTTAGAATGTGCATTTTTTCGATTACATATAGAATAAACCACAGTTATTGGCACTGATCTCAAGAGTTATTCAACATCGGACTTTGCTGCAAACTATTATTGATCGATCACAATTATTAGAAAGAGAAAAATTTCTATCAAATGATTTAGCATTGATTCTTGTTTATGATCAAGTTTTTGGAACACATGTTAGAGGAAAATTTAAGGTTTGTACATTAGAATGGTCGTCCGAGATAGGAGAAATATAGGCGGAGGCATAAAAATCAATTGATCGAGAAAAATTGGAGAACAGGGTTTTTTCTATTGTCAGCGTATTCGTTCTGTATAACAGGTGGATTGAAGGTTTCGAATCTGAATCTTTTTGATCGGCTTGAACGCCTTTCGAGTCAATAGAATAGAAACAGAATTTTGTTCTCTTCTCGAATATGAATTCAAAACGTTCGTATTCAGTTTGCGGATGATTAATTACACTGTCGTTCAAAGATCAAAGAAATTCATTCAGACAGAATTTTTTGGAAAAATCGATTAATTTCACTTTAGTACAAGCTATAGCTAAGTTCGACATGTTTTTCAGCAATTTAGAAAGAAACTGGCGAATTGAAATACTGTAATATCGGTGGAAGATGATTTTCTGCAAGTTCTATCTTTCCGTTGTTAATTTGTCTGGAATCGAAAAGACTTGTTTTTTGTTGTTGTTACTATTTGATCTTTGTTTCTCGCTTTAGGGTATGTTAAAACGTAATCAATCATCGATCGACCAATGTATTCAAACTCTTCTAAACGAACAAAATTTGTCTTCAATAACTGAATTAGCAGAATTAACATCGATTAAACAACCTATTTCCACTGAAATTCCTCGTTATGTTCGTATAAACCTACTGAAGACTACAAGAAAAAAGCTTCGATTAAATCTCAAAGAATTATCCTTCAGAAAGATTAAAAATGTGTGAGTATTAATCTTTCTTTTTATCGTCAACATCAAAACGTTTCCTAGTCAACGATTCATATCTGATTAATGCTGAAAGAAGATCACATATATTTTCATTTTCTTCGAGAAAAAATTCACTGGAGACATGAACGTTAATCGATGCTTCTAATTTATTCATGTCGTACTACGCTTTGTGCACGATCACAAATCTAAGTAGTAAATCACACACACACACACACAAGAATCATATTACATTCCAAACAGCGCCTATCATTAACAGTCGTCGAATCGTTAATGACTTGTCATTATAAACGAAACTAACCAAATTCATCATCATCTATGAACATATAACAGGAAGGTGTCAAAAAGATAATTCCAATTTTTCTTGCGCTTAGTAACATTTCGCTAACGGCAGGAATTTAAACTCATCATTTTATGAACTATAAAAAAGAGAATCCTTTTTTCTTAAAATGATTTATGTACTATGATTTGTTCAAAAGGCAAATTTGTGACAAGAGATAATTGCTTATGGGAATTGCACGATACGCAAGACAATCATCTCGTTTTTTTTCTCCCCATGAAAATCATTGATCTATTTTCCCCTCGATTCGTAATAAGTCTGATGCACATGTTCCCAATTTAACAGAAGCAAAGAGAGAATCAGATTACATCACAGATTCGATCGTTCGCTTTATATTAAGTGTTAACCGCAATCGATCACAGCGATTGTTTTAATACTTAAGTTGCAAATAATCGATACTATTGTGAAAGTTAATTATTAATAGCGATCGCACAAAAATATCGATCATCATTATCATCTCGAATAACATTTTAATCTGTTCTACCCCCCTCGAATGATTAAAGAGATTTCATAAAATGATCTTATAATGGATTACATTGTCTATCTTTGATGATCAATCATGTTGTTATTTTTAGTTTCGATTTATTATGTGCTTTGTTTTTGTACAAATTTAGTCAATTAAGATGTAAAAGGTTGTTTAACGTGTACTGGTATAGGACATAGAATTTTGTTTGCCTCACAATGAGTTGAGAATTGTCGGAGTTGTCCGGCTTTGATACGTTTCCATTTGGCGCGACGATTTTGCCACCAAATTTTGACTTGAATTTCGGATAGATGTAATGAACGAGCGATTTCCGACCGTTCGCCCAATGATAAATATTTCTTTTGTTGAAATTCAGCTTCCAGTTCAATTAGTTGTTCGTTGGAGAAAGCTGTTCGTTTGCGACGCGTGGATGAGGATCGAGTTGTTGTTTTATTTACGGATGATACCGATGAATTATCATCTTCATCACTATCACTTGTTGTTAAACTATTCGAAAGTTGATTACCTAAACCGAAAATTCGGTAGAGAAAATCGATACGACTAAAAAAAATAATTTACTCGTTTTAGTTTGTTCGTGTTGTAATTGGTTTAGAAAAGTTTGAAATAATGGATTCAAATAAAATGTTGGCAGATTTTTGTTTCCACGATGATTAGTATTATTGTTAAGTAATGCATCAATAGAGAAATTCTTTGACATGATGATACGAAGGAATGAAGTGAAAGTTATGTTGTCTATTGAAAGAGAATTTATGAGAAGAATGAGAAAGAGAGAAGGAAGTCGGCTCTTATTGGTTAAAATATTCTATTGGGTAATGTGGATGAACAGTTGATTGACTGATGTTTGTTTTCATATTCACACCATCTCCATTTCAAGGTGCCGCATTAAACTGGAGATCAATCATTGAATAAGATTAAAATCGCGCAGTAGTTTTTTTGAAACTTCGAGAAAAGCTCAAAGTCTATAGTTTTTTAAACGAGTCAATGGGAAATATTTAGTGAGACAAGAGAAAAATGATAAGTGGGTAGCGTTTATTCTCATCGATAATGTGCGAAGAGCAAGTGTTAGTGTGCAAATTTGTATGTGTTTTGTTTGTTTATTTGTTAGAGGAAAAAATTAGCCTTTCATCCTGTGATATTAAATGCATAATTAACAGCTTATGTTCGGCATGATTGTTGGTGTGTTCCGCTGTAAATTGCATCAAACGAATTGATGATGAGAGGCGAAGTGCTTTATTTTTCTTTTGCATGTTGAAAAGCATCTATTTAACTATAACTGATTGAAATTTCATTCGATTTTTTCTCTGATGGTAAACAAAATTAGACATGAGACAATGATCTGACAGTTATATGATGATGGGATATAAAGTAGCTATTAACAAATCATAGAATTTGTTTTGTTTACATGTTATAATTGGCATGAATATCTTGAGAAAATTTCAATCTTTGTCGACTTATCTCGCGGTTGGAACCGGTAAGAAATCGATCAAGTGGTCCTGTCCGTCGGTTAAAACATCTTACCGGTCGGACAGCAACTGATGGAGTTTATTACTTAGAAATTATTGTTTATGATTACAATCAATATTAATTGTGAACTGAACAAAGTTTTGCATTATCGCTGTTCGAAAGACTTTATATTAAATAAGCACGTAATTCTCATTTCATCTATTTCATTGAAAAACTCGTAAAAAATTATTTTTTACAAAAAGAGAGCTAAATGAAGATAGTTATTTTTAACGCTCGGGTTCTCGCGCTGACGACCCATCTTCAGTGATCTACTGTTTTCAGTGAAAATAATCGTACCATTGAGAAGAAAATCTGATATCTTTATTCACTATGCTGATCTTCATTTTTTTAGGGCGGGCTTTCGTAAAAGTGTAAAGCGCTTATCAAATTTGAAATATTTTATCGATCCAGAAGTTGAACATGTTCTCGTCTTTGCGACTGGTACCAAATTTTTTGATTATGACATTTATCTCAATCGACATATTTTACTCATGGATAAGGTGTAAGATTTTTTGATGTCATTTATTTATGATTTTTTTCTTGTTTTCTATTTCAGGCTAGTTGTTTACCGTGTTTAGCATTGTCTCCACCGCCAGGTAGTACTGTTCTTGATGCTTGCGCAGCACCCGGTAATAAGACAATATGTTTAGCTAATTATTTAAAAAATAAAGGGTTCGTATTTAATTTGTTTAATGGAAATTTTCTACGTTGAAAATTATGTTTTTCTAGTGTTCTCTATGCAATTGAATTGAATAGACGTCGTTTTAAAGAACTTAACGCGAATTTGAAATCAGCCGGTGTTAAATGTGCACATACGCTAAATGATGATTTTTTAACTGTTGCGCTGCCGTTCGATGAAATTGATTATGTGCTACTTGACCCGTCGTGTTCTGGTTCGGGTATTCGTAATCGAGCTGATGATACAAAAGTAATTGATGAAGAACGTTTAGAACGTCTTTCTGCATTGCAAACACGTATGATTACACATGTAATGACAAAATTTTCCAAAGTAAAACGTGTGACATATAGTACCTGTTCGATATATAGTCAAGAAAATGAACAAGTGGTTGAAACAATTCTCGATCAATTTAGTGATACGTTTCAGGTATAAAAATCACAGTTTGAATTTTATTGTACAGTCTTATATTTTAGCTTGTCGATTTTCTACCGGAATGGCCAAGTCGTGGACAAACAGAAAGGACACGAGCATGTTTACGTGCATCGCCCGATGATACATTAACCAATGGATTTTTTGTTGCTTGTTTTGAAAGAATAATAAAAATCGATATTCAATAGAGAATAGAATTATTCGAAATATTTTGTTGTAAGATTTAAAAATGAAATCAATATTGGATGTATAATGATTTTTAGAAATAATTCATAGATTTACCTATGAGTGATTGTTGTAGGTTTGAAAAACCCACCGAGTCCTGAATTTAATGTGGCTATATTTTTCAGCTGAAGAAATGGTGTCTGCTCTATTCTACTACTATGTCTATATCGTTGTCTCTCATTTTGCTGAATTACCTGATGATTTCGAAAGTAAATAGAAGATTTTTCTTCCAAGTACAATGACAAAATAAAATAATGGACTGTACGATCAGGAATGCACTAAACGTATATACTTACTAAATCAATACATTCATGGATCATGTCGTTATTTTAAGTGAAACATAGTCACATACTAGTAGTTTAAATTTAGTTATTGAAAGTATGATCTCAAAGGTTCCTTATCACGGAGAATTTTCTCCTTTATTCAATTCCGTTGCTTTGTTTTTCGCTAAAAAGCAAAAGATGACGGCATTCATTAATGAGTTAGATGTCATTTTAGCTTGTATTCAATACAGTCAGACTAGCATACATGACATCATATATGAGTGTACCACGATGAAACTATTTTTATGAGTATTCAAAAAGAAAAAAAAATTGATTCAGTTTTTTTACTAAGAAGAGAAACATATTGGTGAAGACTGGTTAATAAAGTTGGAATAAACTAAGTATGTGAAGGGTCTTTTGATGTTTACTGAAATGAGATACGATTCATAGGACGAACAAAAGATAAAAGGAATTTGTGTTTTAGCAAAAGCATTGAAGATAGCAAAGATGTTTTGCTTTTTGATAGCTTTCGGTAGGCAGCAAAAAGATAACTGAATACACACAGCAATAAAAGAAGTAGAGATAATAGAAAGATTTTGTTGTTGTGTTTTGTGAGTTCCATAACAGTACCTAACAAGACGGTAAGGTCATTCGAATTGAAAACACGAGTGAAGAAAACACGCGGCTACATTTACGTATACAGAGAATAATCCCAGTTCACAAAATTAAATGAAAATGGGACCCGCACAGGCTGAAATCAACAACAATTTGGAAACGTACAGCATCGTTTGGTTGGATGCTTCAGTTAACAATGAAGAAAATATGAGTGCTCAAAAACAATTACGAAGCGTAGTTAATAATCTACGAACTTTTATCAATCCAGAAGAATTTATGAATCATACTCGTTTGCTTCAACAAGGTGACTTGACAATTCTGATTGTAAGTGGTGAAATGGGTCGCGTTATAATTCCCGAAATGCAGAAATTAGAACAAGTATACTCAATTTATATGTATTGCTTCAGTAAGGAGACAAACTTAGAATGGAGTCGACCCTACAGCAAGGTGTGTACTTTTTCCTTATTGAAAACCATGCCATATGTGATTGCTAGTTTGCTGTAGGTGAAAGCTGTTTGTAATAAACTTGTTGAATTGATCGATGCTATTCAGGTAGATCAAAAGCATCAGAGTCAAAATGAACAGTCCCTATCCATGGACATCTTGGATCGGAGTTCAACTGAGCTTAATGGAGAATTTCTGCATTCTCAATTGTTGATCGACGTATTGATTGGAATGAAACCGAATAAACAAGATCAGAACGAATTAATTGAATTATTAATGAAAGAATATCAAGGCAATGAAAGCGAATTGAAAATAGTTAAAGAGTTTCAAAATGAATATGCGTCAAACCGCGCAATTTGGTGGTATACACGTGACTCGTTTGTGTATCGTCTAGTGAATAAAGCGTTGCGTGTGCGTAACGTAGAAATGATTTTTTTAATGCGAAATATTATTCGTAATGTTTATGAGCAGTTACGTGCAAATCAATTTAAGAAGCGCGCGGTTGTGTATCGTGGTCAGATGATGTCCGATGTTGAAATGAAAACATTGAGAAAATCAATTGGAAATATAATATCATTCAATTCATTTTTATCGACATCATTGAATCGTAGAGTAGCTGAAAGATTTTTAAGACAAAGTATTGTACCATGCAGTTCTGATGATCGTGCAGTTGTGATATTTGAAATTGAGGCTGATCCTCGTGTAATATGTGATGTGAATGGTGATAATCGACGGCCGTTTGCACAAATTGATGAGTTTAGTTATTATGGCGATGAAACAGAGATATTATTTATGGTTGGTTCAATATTTCGTTTGGAATCTATTCGCCAAGATGATCCATTCGGTGATATGAAAATATGGACGATTCGAATGAGATTATGTGGTGATGATGAGAATGATCTTAAAAAACTGTATGATCACATGAAGAGCAAAATAACGAGAGCGGAAATGAATCTGATGTCTCTTGGTTTGACGATGTGGAAGATGGGCAAATTTGATCTTGCGGAAAAATACTATCGTCAATTTCTAACTAAACTTCCATCGAATGATTCTTCGCTTTCTAAGTTGTATCAACGTTTCGGCCTGGTGGCTAACTCTAAAGGTGAGTACGACAGTAGTCTCGAATGGTATGAGAAATCGCTCGAGATAATGATGAAAACGCGTCCATTCGATTATGTCAATATTGGGAACACACACAACAATATCGGCGGTGTTCATCGAAACAAAGGTGATAGTCTTCGAGCACTTGAATCGTATAATCGAGCTGTATCACTGTTCAAAGAAGCAAACGATGAGAATCACCCGAACATGGCCTCGTTTTACGGCAACATTGGTGGCATGTACTCCGCAGAGAAAAAGTATTTAGAAGCACTTGACTTGTATGAGAAGTCACTTGCTATTCAGAAGAAGCATCTTCCAACTGATCATCCTGATTTGGGCTTGTCGTACAACAATATTGGTACTGTTCATGATCTGCTGAATGATTATGATCTTGCATTGGACTATTATGGCCGATCGCTTAAAATTCGATTGAAATCACTTCCGTCTCAACACCCTGATATTGCAACTAGTTACAGGAACATGGGTCTTGCGTATGAAGTTAAAAGTGAATTAGAACAAGCATTGACATTAATGAAGAAGTCTAAGATAATCTATGAAGTAGCATTACCAGTTAATCATCCGTATTTATTGCTTATTAAAAATGATATTCGACGCGTCGAAGACAAAACAAAGCGAGTAGAGGCGGCGGAGCGCCATTTAGCTAGGTGAGACTCATAATAGTTTTTTTTCTACTGTGGAATTTTATGAAAGCATCAAGCAGAAAATAAGTCTTTTTTCTATTGAACTTCGGTAAAAATAAAAATGGTCAGTATAAAAACGAAGATTTGAAAGTACCAAAATATACTTTGCTTTACTCCTACTTTGATGCAAGAAGAAAAAATAGCAATAATCAGTACAAAAAGCAAGTGAGGCTGAGCCTCATCTTGCGAAATCTAGGTGAGGCTCAAGCCTCATGGGTCTCAGTGACTCTGCCGCCACTGAAAGCGAGAGAAATAAAGAAATATGAAATAAATAAAAATAAATTATCTATCCGAATTAGCAATTCATGAAGCAAGATAAAATAGCATCTGGAACACTTTGAAAGAGTTATCGCCCTATCATAAATACAATTTCGATGTAAACTAATTAATTAAAAGACCATGAGACGAAAAATACACAAAACGTTTATACGTGAGAAAATTAAAAACAAAAATTGCGATCTATCGTATGACATTATAAATACACACTGAAACAATTTGTTGCAAAAAGTTACTAAATACCTACCTTAGAAAAGCAGCACTTAAAATCTTAGTAGTGAAAAACAAACTTCATCAAACTAATGTATAACACTTGCGTCGTCTATTCATTCTCTCATTTTATGCGATGAGATTAGAAGGGATAGAACTTTCCAATGGTTGATAATTATCTTTTTCTTCTTCCTCGATAATTCATAACGATGTTTTGCTTATTTTTGAAGAAATTGATCTATTGTTTGTACCTTGTTTCGAGTATTTCCTTCAGAAGGGATAGGACTTTGCAACGTCGAAATAGAATTCATAGTGTTTTTATCGTTGTCGTGCAGTGTTCATTGTATGTTATTCGTCGAGCTGAACTTACGCTTAGATCTCATAACATATATTTTAGCTTTCTACATCGATTAGCTATTGAAAAAGAGAAAGATTCAACTTTTTACTGATACAATTGTTTTTTTCGAAAAGAAAAAGTTATTATCGGTTATCATGCAATCAAAAAACTTAAATATAAGTTAAAATTTTCTGTTTACTTTTCATTAATTTGTGATAAAAAAATTGAATTGAAAACGCTATCATCTTTACAACTCCAATACGACAAATATAAAATATTCAAAATTACGAAATCACTACTCAGGCTGAAAAAATAAATCTATAAATGATTGATAGGATTCAATTCGTTAATACGCGATTTGATAATGTATTATCAAAATAAATGAACTCAAGTCAAACTTTACTTGACCTGAAGAGCCAATCTCTAGGTTCGGCTGTTCGACATGGCAGGCCAACAATATCATTGTGTTTACATTGTCTATTGAGAATATTATTAATCTTACGGCGAGTATTTGCTGCATCAACATTGCCAGTTGGATGAAGCTGCTGAAAAATTGCCAATGCCTGTCGAAATGCGTGGAGAGCTTCATCCAGCTTTTCTTGCTCACTAAGAATATCACCGATATGACAGCAACAACGAGCAATTTTGATATGACTAGGAGAGAAAACTCTCTCTAGAATTGTCAATGCTTGTCGATGGGAGTTCAGAGCTTCATCGAGATTACCTAAATCAATTAGAATTGTGCCTAAGTTCTGCAGACTTTGTGCAACATGCCAATGGCCTTCTGGATAAAACGCCTCTCTTATTCTCAAAGCTTGCTGACAATACTCGAGTGCTTTATCGTATTTCTGTTGCTTGTGGAGAATGTTACCGATGCTATTGAGGCTTAACGCAATGTCACTATGACCAGCTGGATAAAACTTCGCATAAATATCCAATGCTCGTTCACAATGATTGAGAGCTCCATCATACTTTGTTTGATAGGCGAGGGCGTTCCCAATATTTATTAGGCTTGTTGCTATTTTGACATGACCAGATGGATAAAACTTTTCGTAAATTTGCAACGCTCTATGATAATATTCGAGAGCTTGATCGTACATACTCTGAGAGAAACGAATATTGCCAATACAGTTGAGGCATGTAGCTGTTGCTTCATGACCAGGAGGATAAAAGCTTTCATAAATATTCAATGCTTGTTGATAGCAATTCTCAGCTTCATGATACTTTTCTTGATTCGACAGAGTATTACCGATATTGTTAAGACTTTCGGCAACATCACAATGATTAGGTGGATAAAAATTTTTACGAATTTCATACGATCTTTGGTAATTTTCGAGAGCTTTACCGTACTGTCCTTGACTTTCAAGAGTATTGCCAATGTTGTCTAAGCTTTGAGCAACACAGACATGACCAGATGAATAATATTTCGTAAGAATCTCGTATGCTCGTTGATAATGCTCACGAGCTTTGTCGTATTTGGCTTGCTTAGAGAGAATATGTCCCATATTATTCCAAGTTTCAGCAAAACTAACAGGTTCAACTGCACATAATTTCTCTTGCATTTGTAATGCTTTCTGGTGATAATCAAATGCTGCATCATATTTTCCTTGATCAAGAAAAGTGATGCCAATGTTATTATAGCTTCTAGCAATATCGACATGATCACTTCTGTAAGTTTTTTTACGAATTTCCAATGCCTGCTCAAAGCAATAGAGAGCGCCATCGTAGTTTCCTTCTATTCGACGAATGCTAGCTATGTTGTCCAGACTTACAGAATCACAAATATCTCCAACTGAACACAACTTTTGCCGAATTGTGTATGCATGATGATAACGATCAATAGCCTCATGGTAGCGTCCTTGAACCGACAAAACGTTCCCAATATTATCGAGAGTTTCAGCAATATCGATATGATCACATGGACGGAATCTATATTGTACTTGCAACGCGCGTTCGTGATACATGAGCGCTTGATTGTACTTTCCTTGTTTATTGAAACTTTTGCCAATGCTGTCGAAAATTTCCGCACCATTCACATGGCCATGTGGATAAAGTTTATCTTGAGCTTGCAGTGCTTGTGCATAATGTTCAAGAGCTTCCTCGTATTTCCCTTCATTGTAGAGAATATTACCTTGGGCGTTGCAATAATCAATAGTATCTATATGGCTGCATGAATATGCTCTTTGTTGTGTTTCCGATACTGGCTGATGGAAAACTATAGGCTTCTCATAAGCTTCGTGACCTCTAGCAAGCTCACTCATGCGACTGCCACTGAATAGAAGATCGGGTCGCTCTGCCGAAGAAATTCTTTGAGTACTTGTAGAAGCTCGCTGAGGATAATGTAACGATTCATCTGTCTTGCGGCGGTCTTCCGGACTGCCAGCTCTGGGACTGAGACTGGAAATTATGTCAAAGGGTCCAGTTGAACAGATACTCTGATTAGCCAAATGAGCTGGTCGCGAATGACGAAACGATTCGTCGTGTTTTTCGCTATGTTCCATAGTCTCCCGTATTTGACCGGGACCTGGGTGAACAGCAGGTCGGTTTGGCGAAGGAATTGTCTGATTACTTGTAGAAGCTCGTTGTGGATAATGTAACGACGCATCTGCCTTGCGGCGATTTTCCGGATTGTCACTTCTGGAACTGAGACTGGGAATTATGCCAAAGGGTCCAGTTGAACAGATACTCTGATTAGCCAAATGCGCTGGTCGCGGACGACGGAACGATTCGTCGTGTTTTTCTTGATGCTTGAGAATTTCAGTAATTATGCTGCGACTGGAAATTATGTCAATGTGTCCAGCTGGAAGAGACGTCTCGTAAATCCTCAATGCTCGTTGATAATAGTAGAGAGATTCATCGCGCCTTCCTTGATCACCGAGAGTAATACCAATGTTAGTGAGACTACGAGCAATATCAACATTATCATTCGGATATAATTCTTCTTTGATTTCCAATGCTCGTAGATAATAACCAAGTGCGTCATTGAATTTATTTTCATCGGATGATACGATACCAAGGTTGTTCAGAAGATGAGCAAAATGTATCGTTCGTTCTTGTTTCTTGTATTGCATATCGTCATACGCACGTTGATAACATTTTCGAGCTTCATTCAATTGACCTTTCATATAAAGTGCTCGGCCAATATGGTATTCAATTCGTCCAAGATCTTCGGCATTGGAATCATTGAATAACAATTCAAAGTACTTTTTCGACTTATCATATTCAGCTAAACTGCATAATAATTTTCCAAAAAGAATCTTAACATTGTCTTCTCCAGTTTCTTTTTTTGTGAATGCAAGATATTCCTTCACAACGGTTTGCCCTGCGTTTGAGACGTTCATTTTTACTGTTGCGTATGTTTCAGTTTCTTCTATAAAATTAATTTTAAAGCAAGCATTTGAGTCGAATAAAACTTCTTGGTCAACCGTAAATTGAGTTATGTCAGCAAAAACAGTATTTTCATCTCCTTGTTCTAGATAGCATTCAATTTGAAAAAGAACAGGAATAGTGTTACGGCTTTTTGTTGATTTATTACAAAAGTTTTCTGCCTTCGATTTCAGTCTTGTTGTTGATAAATATCCCTTGGTTGAAATCACATTTTCTCGGTTTTTTTTCAATTTTTCGTATTCTTGTTTCTCAAGTTGTACTCCACGATAAACATTCAAAACGCCTTTTGTTGACGAAAATGATTTCATGTATTCACGTTTAAGACTGTTGGAGAGATCAAAAACGAAAGGATGCAATTTGTAGAGAAGTTCAATATCTTTTGTTCTCAATGCTCTATCAATTAATTCATAAGCAAAGCATTGTTTCGAATACCATCGGATTGCGTCTCTTGATTGATACGTCCGTTCAAATTCTTCAATTCGTTTTATTTCTTTTGCATTTCTCCAGTAATGTTCTTTACAGATTTGAATCATTTGGTGTTTTGCTTGCTCATTTTTTGGAAGACCAGATAGAACATGCTTCAAAATTTGGGACAAAAGAAATTCTATTGAGCCTTGGGATAAGTCTTCGGTGAATTGTTGTCGTTGATCAAAATATGAAAACGCTTCGATTGAATGATTACTAAGGTGGAGTTGCAACGTAATCGATTGGTCTACATTTCCAGATAAGTTGCATAACGGTTCCACAGATGAAGCATCTGTAGTTCTATGATACGACGGAAAAGTCTCTACCATATTTACTAGAAGAAATAAACCCCTATTCAATAAAAAGTCAATTTCAGGATATAAATATTTTCGAGCAAAACAGATAAAGATTGATATGAAACGCAGTTTTTTGCGATAGTTATTTTTTTTCTTCCTACTATTTGAATTATACTGCTGCTTTTAAAGCAATTATTTCCTTTCAGTGCCGACACTTTAAAATTTTATTTAAATGTCTTTTTTGTTGACTCATTCACGATTGCAAAGAGCTTGTCGAGTGCTGTTTGAATGAGACGGGAGAAATGTCTTAACGTTGATGCGCAAGACAATTAAATTAAAATGAAACTCGAATAACTAGTGAAAATTAGAATGCAAAACTAGCATAACATCTCGTTTGACTAGGAAGACTATGAGACCAGCGTTTTTCAAAACGACGCTTCCTTATACGATTGTAAAACGTCATAGCGAGAGATTAGTGTTTGAAGATATCGAGTAAGAAATATCTTATGTTGTCAAACAACAGCAGGGTGGCATACATAGTGAACTCAAATCTCTACATTGAGTATCCTACTCAATGCCCTAACTTTGTTTTCCTCTGAATGATCTCGCTTATTGTTCTTCTGCAATTATACGTGGTCGTAAAGTTATTTTAGAATCTATTATACTATTTGATGTCGAGTTTTTTGCTCGATTTAATAGCGAACTTTCTTTTATTGAAAGAAGTTTTTTTGATTCTCAAGGTTTCAATATATGAATATGAATAAAAAGTAAAGAAAAAGTCATGAGCATTAAACTTAGTGACAATTTATAATAATTTGGCTAATTAAACGTTGTGTCAATTTTGTTTTGCAAACCTACTTTCTGTAAATTATGTTACGATAGTGAAGTTGTAATATTTTATAATGAGAACACCTATCGAATTCACTTGGCGAGCTTAATGAAATCCTAAAGGCCGCGAAAAATATTTTGCTTACATTTCGCATTGTGGATATTTGACAAGAAACAAAAATAATTCGGTTCAAATTGAGAACTGTTTTCTTCCTTTTTAATCAAACTGTCAATCAGTGAATACTTACAGATGCAACTGGGTTTTTTTTATTTTACATCGGCTGGATCAAAGAATAGATTAACGCTTGGAAAATATGTTAATGGTGTGAGAAAAAATTTCAATTATCAAAGAAGCGAACAATCTCAAGTTTCTTTTCTCTTGTGTTTATTTAAAATGAATTCTTCACTATAGTTTTACATATTTTTCAAACAGTAAAATTTAAAAAAACGCAAAATCTGAACAGTCGATTTTCTTTAGAGTGAGTCATATTGCTATTCATGGTTTAAAATCGTTTGAGATTTTGTTTGTTAATCCATGGAAAAATTTTGTTCTCAAACGATAAATAGAGAAAATCCATCTACGAATTTATACAGCATGCCAATTTTATCGGCGAATAATAAAGCATTATTTGTAGGCTATCACAAAAATGATCACGCTTTAAATTGCTTGTGAGGATACAAGGTGCTTGGGGCGATGGGTCGGTGTGTATGCGCTCTTATTTCAGATCCACATCTCTCACGTACCTTCAAACATTTATCAGTGAGCAAGAATTAATTATATTTTATCGAGGAAAATATTTTCACAAAGCGATAAAGTGATTCGTTAGGATCTGGGTGTGGGTAAATGATATATGAAAATTCACACGCAAACCCTCATCCTTATTGTATCGAATAAATATAACTGAGCACTCATTCTATTAATTATGACAATGAGATTAGCAATAATATACGAATATTCATATAAAACCTCGAGTAGTCTTGAGCATTTTCTTACAAAAGACATCTTTCGATATCGTTCACATTTAGTGCATAATCATTAGTAAATATAGATGACATCTGAAACAGTTTGCATCGTTACGCTTCGCTTCAGGTACGCCATCGTCTGCGCTATATTCATGTGTTCACTTCGTTACTAACTCCCATTATTCTATTGCGTAACATTTCCCTCCCTATTTCTGTTCACTCATGCATGATCGCTCTCTTGTGTATAAGCAGATGTAACCGAAGGAAAGATACGGCTAGAGATATTCAGATGACATAATACACAATCATGCCAGCCGGCAGAGGCACACACTCTCTCAATCCTGCACAGTGCCATTGATATAATTGATGCCACTTTTGTTTTGAATTTGTCGCCGAAGAAACTTGAAAGGATGTAACACTAAATAATAATTATTTATGTTCTCACGATACTTTTCCATTTTCATTTCCTTTTTAGCTATCTGCCGCGATTTTGAAACGCGTACTCGTACTCAAAAATTGTATTCCCTCCCATTTCTTCACTTTAGGAGAGATGAGTGTTCCCAGTGAAAAATAATCATAGAAAAAAACGGAAAGGAACGCATTCATCAGAATAGGGAAAGCTATATTTTTCATGAAGAACGCGTTCTATAAGTTGAAGAATGTGTTCCTTACTGAAAAGAACGCGTTCAATATCTCAGTGAATGCATTCTTTAACGTTCCATACTGTTATGGAATGTTTTCTTCCTAGTTCAAAAATATTTCTTCCTCAAAAAAGAAAGCGTTCTGAACCGTTCTATTAAGTATCAGAATGGTTTTCTTGTCATTCTATTTGGGAAAGGTCAGGATTGAGTTCCATTTTGAGGAGATCGCGTTCTCTCGCGTTCTGTAAAGGAATGCCTAAGAATGGACTCTTGGAAGTAATGAACGCTTTCCAAATCATTCAACATCATTCTTGGAAAGAAAAGAAAACGTTCTCTACCATTCTACATTTTTCAAATGTACATACGTATATATATATATATATATATATTCATTCGATAAATATAAATACTAAAATTATATATAAAAACATATTTTTTTTTTATATAAATACATTCATATACATTTGCATTTATATTAGAGTATGTAAGATTAATTTTAATTTCGAGAAATATATAGAGCGGGCTAAGAATAACGACACAAGTATATTTTAGCTGGGCCTCATACATGGATAATATAATCGCTCATTTATGCCGCATTTTTTAGGCACTGATGGTAGATGGTTGGTATATTGTTAGTTTCTGGGTCGAATAGTTAGTTTTGAAAGCACAAGGATGTGTCTTGTATAACTGATATGAAAAAAGGAATTTTATAATATCTGTTGAGAATAATTTCGGAAAAAGTCGTCCTATAAATATTAGTCTAGCGATCTAATTTTTATTTGAATATTACATTTAAATTATATATATATATAATTTACTATAATCTGTAAAGCAGATTTTTTCATTTTAACATTTAAGCATAAATGTTTTTAAATATTTAGATAATATTTCTTATATAATAATTACTTATTTTGATTTTAAAAGCAATAGATTAGAAATAAAGTTTTTATTTTTTTTTCTATTAAATTTGAAGCAAAATTTACTTTTAAAATGAAAATTTAGATGTTTCTATTCGAATTATTTTGTTCAACTCCAGTATTATTTTCACTACATCTACTATCAGAAAAGATAGTTTAATAGCATAAAAGCATAGATAGGTCCGTACGAACCCAGCCCGAAGCAGCGACAAGTAATAACCAGCTAAAGAAATAAAATAACTACGTAAGCCAAATAAAATTATAAGATGTGAAACAAATTCGAAACAGAAAAAAATGAAGAATTCTAGGTAGCTAGGCAATTCTGCAGAAAATTCTTTTTACAGAATTATTCGAGAAAATTTTCGTTAGGTGTTGGAATTCGTTATCCAACATTTCAAAATGAGAACGGTATAGAACGGATTCCGAAAAGATGAAAAACTTTTTTTAAGAAAAAAAAAGTTTTCTTGAATATTGGAACGCGTTCTCAACCATTCCTTTAGGGAACGGTTTCCACTTTTTGAAAAAACTTTTTTTTTCTTAAAAAAAGTTTTCTCTGAAATTGGAACGCGTTCTACACCGTTTTTTTCTATGATTATTTTTCACTGGGTAGACAGGGGAAAACGGATAATGGGCAAACAGTAATGGATAATGTTGTTCATCGGGAGATTTTTTCGTGAATTCCATATGCCTAATGTTCTGAGTCTATAACTTTAGTATTTCCTTTTTTATTTAATAATTCAAATAGCAATCCAAAAGTTTTTATTAAACCAATTTTTTCTATAATATTAAAGTTCAGTTGTTCACATGGGCCTTTAATTTATAATTATAATTGATATAAAAATTTATCTGTGATCGTTGTGGCTGTTTCGACATAAAAGTGTTGGTTCGAATTTTTTCATTTATTTTCGAAGTGATATTAAGCTTTCAGAGTTTCATTTATATTCGAAGTCGAATTAGGTAACTCATGAATCCGATACCAGGCTATAAATTTTTGTATTAGCACATTTAGGACATGCTTTACCACCACAATCTATGTCAGTTTCATCTTGATTCTTCACACCATCGCTGCAATTGGGTACTACAGAGCAGATAAAGAACTACATAATATTTTATATGAAGAAAAATATACCTTGACAGGTTTTAGATTTGCACACTTCACTAACACAATCTGAGTCGGCTTTGCAGGTTTTTCCATTGGGACATTTTGAACATTTTTCACCACCACAATCTATATCAGTTTCATTACCATTCCTATAACCATCGGTACAAGTGGGAGCTAAAAAGAGAAAAAGTTAGGAAAAAATTCGATTCATAGGTAGACTAAAATTCTCATGGCATGTTCACCATTATGTATGAGTGTTCTGAAAAGTAATCCTGAAAGTCAACCTTTTCTCAAACTTATGTAGATGCGAAAAGAAAGATTGATATAGCGATTGTTAAGACGATTCAAGAAAACTTTTCTAGTGAACTTCATTTGAATTGTTTTTTTGCAAAAACGTGGAACTATTGTTTGAACGATTTATTTTTATTATTACATCGATTTCAATGGTTGAGTATTGTTCAAATCGACCTCCATATATTTAATTGCCAGCAACATTTTGAGATTTGGATATGGATATGCGAGTTGCATGTATGATGAAGGGCAATAGTCAATTCAAAATGCTTTCGTAAATTATCATCAAATCCCAAAGGATCCGTCCTACGAACTGTAATACATGGGACGAAGTTTAATCGAGACGTGCACTTGTATCCTTTCTCGAGTCGAATAGTCTGAATAAATGACTAAAAGCGTCACTTTTTAGTTTAAATCTAAACATTAACACTTTTTGAGTATCATATGTCTTAAAATCGATTTCCGAATTCAATATTAATTGTACTCCATCTAAAGATGATAGACAAAATCCGTTCGAAATTGATTTTGGTAGAAAATTGACACACGAGGTTAGAAATGAACAAAGAGAAGGACAGATAGCTTCGCTAGAAGAATTAAAAATAGTTTGTTTTATATGTCTAAATAAATTATGTCGCTGTATTATCGGTTGAGTCGGGAAAGTTATGAATAATTAAAATGTGGTAGGTGAAGATGATGATTTTTGCTTGAACATCATCCTCACACCCATAACTATATTCACCCTCAACTTTGTAAAAGTTCTGCTCTTATGCAGTTAGCATACCTTTACATCTTTTCTTGTCGCAATTACCGCTCGAACACTGATCGTTATATCTGCAAGGGGCTCCATCATTACCGCTCTTCATATCCTTGCTGTGAATCACTGAAAATCGACCTAGCTGAAGATCATCATCCAGCTAGAAGAACACTACAGAAGTAACAAGAGAATATGTATATAGATGAAGGTAAAGACACAAACCATTTGGGCCACATTGTCGCTTTTGAAATCTTCCTGTGATGACATAGCCACATTCAAACAAAATACAAGAACACCAATGGTTAGCCACATCCACCTATCAACAAAGATTTTCATGAACTCTCTTTCATATCACTGATCTAATTCGGTAATTGAAGGTCACAATGATAAACTGGTATACTCTTGCAGCTACTAATGGCTACATGAAATATTCCACCAAAGTATACAGCAGTGTTGAAGAAAACAAATAATCATTTATGATTGTTTTCATTCTCAATTTTTACTTAAAATATACATTTCATATGATGGTTTCAGCTTTTAATGACTAAAAACTTCAATCAAAATATTTATTCCAACAATAAAGATTCTATTTTTTCCGATGACCAGTGTAGTAGTACAGGTAAATTTTTCTTATAGTATATGTTGCGATAAATCCTTCAATCTTGAGGATTGGTTGTGGGTAACAGTGAGAGATTACTATAAACTCTCGCTCACTAGTCAACATTCATCACATTCTTACATTCACGGTAGTAACCTTTGATAAAATTGTTACCTAAAAAAAGTATTTTTCAGCCTTATCGCAGCCTAGAATCTGCTGATGAAGTATTGTGAGATCGATATCGACACTTAGTCATGACATATACACCTGAAATTTCCCAACTATTCTTATGTTAATGGCCGCCAACTCTAACTGAGAATATGATCTCTGACATTCGTTTTGTTCATACAAATCTCATCCTAAAGAGCCGTTCCTATTTTTTCTCGTGTATCACTAATTTCAAACGATTACGGCCTTTTTCTTAACTCAATTCGTAGAATGAAAAGAAAAATTTAGCTTTTAAACGAAGCTAGATAAAAACAGTAGACTTACCTTTTTACGTTTCCATGACGCCTTTGACGTATTTGCATTATAATACCCGCAAAATTCGAATTAATCGAAAAATCACACTGAATATTTCCTGGAAACAGATATATATGTGAATAGATATGAATATATACATGTAGCGATTGATGTAACAGAAAAACTATTGAGTTTAGATATGACAAATAATATCCGTGACATCAATTAATCTATAGTGCATCATTCTTTTACAATATCGCGATTTTTTGTGTCTCTCTACTTCGTCACGACAATTAAAAGTAGAGACATATGAAACTAGATATTAATTGTACAGAGAGGAACGCAAATCCTGATGGCTTGATTTTTTTCTCTACTCCTCTAGTAATCATTAGGATGCGCCAGCTTCATCTCAAAGTTCAGCTCTTCGGAACGAATGAACTGTTCAAACGTTCTTTTTCATAGAAACTGAACTTTTTCAACAGCTCTTTTTCAAGAACTGGTTGGCGAGATAACCCTTGAAAATCATAGAGACCATCCTATCTCGTCAACAGTTCCTTCGTTCAGAGCAAGAAATGAACTGTTACATCCCTAATAGTCATTTAATCGCGTGGGAAGTACAGTTCATAGTAAGAATATAATCGAAATATCTATCTATAGTGCTACTAAAAATATATTCCTTAGAGGAGAAAAAAATCTAAAGGAGTGAAAAATAATGTTGATCATACATACTGTTAAAACCTGATTAAAAGCGCATAGCGCGCGTTACTTTTATCTAACAGCCACAGATGGCAATGTAAACCATACTAATTGGAAATCAGCACAACAAAAAGCGAATCCCTTCGCCAATTCGATACTAATTCCAATCGTTTGAAGGCCTTTCACACTAATTTAAAACAATAATAACTATCAGTAATGCAAAAAGCCTACCAATAAAATGCATGCGACAGGTGGAAAAAAAGAAATATGATAGTGCTATGGTTCGATTTTATTTCAATTTTTCTAATATTAATTTAAAAAATAGAGTATATGAGCGCCATTAGAATGATTACTTCGTTTTCTTGATCATTTTAAAACGACAATAGAGACAACGAAAAAAGACTACCTTTTGTGTTTGAAAATTGAACTTATTGGAATATCACGTTGCTACTGCTAATTATCTTATTAATGCAGTTGTTTTTACGACGAATCTGAATATGTGTTTTTTTTAAACTTCCAATGAAACGAAATATTTTTTTAATTGAAAAATCATCAAACTCGAGGGTAAGGGTATGGGTATAATAATTGAAGACAAGTGATTTGTATCGTAGAAACCATCTTATTTATTTAAACATGTCTTAACTGTATTGATAGAATGAGTAGATTTCATGTTTGCATGTGTCATATTTGGTGAGAAGAATTTGTTTTTCATTTCAGAACCGCAAACTCTACGATATGAGACGTGACTTTTCACCTTGGCCGTCGGAGCAAAGAATATGTGAGGACATCAAAGACGTTGTCTAGATTCCTAATCAAAAAATAGAAAGAGATTCATATAATTGATGTTCCAAACATTCTTTATCTGTCACTGAATTCTTACAATGTAGCTCCATTATTGGGATCCCGGAAAATATTTCTGTTATAAGTTTATGTTTTCCTGAAGATCTTTATTATTAATTCAATAAATTTCTTTCAAAAGCAGCTCTGTTAAATGTCAATTGTTCAGCTTTAGAAGATTTTATGGTACACTATTACATTGCAATACAATAGTCAATAACATCACTTCGCTGCAATAGTAGGCACTGCTATGGTGAAGTATCGTGATTCTCTCTCATTGTCATGCGTAGCATGATTTCTGCATTTGCAACATAGAATTGAGGGTGTGGGCGTGTACCCTCACCTTTCAGTCCAATAGACACACCCACACCCTCGAGGTTAAGGTTAGAATTAAGGGTTAAGGATAGAAATAAGAGGCTAAATATGAAATCAACGGCTGGATATAGCATTAGTGGCGAGTACTAGACTAATTGAGTGTGGCGGACTACATTTTACCACTCTAGAACCACTTTTGGAAGAAAAAGGAAAAGGTTCCAGCTAGAACCAGATTTTGCTTGAGCTTTAAATGGTTCTGAAAATGGTACTCAAATCTAGAACCTTAAAAGATTCAGTATGGCACCTTTTTTCTGAGTATTCATAACGGAAAACTAATTTGGCAATGTCGCATACCTGCGTGAGTCGGTTACTGATGTGTAGCTGTGGGAAACGTTTAACAGGTTCCAGAAGTATCGGAAACCTATAAAGGGTTTCATATAGTGACAAACCCGGAAACCTCTTATTCGTTTCTCAGAACACGGATTTTATTTCGAATGTATCCGATTTTTTAATAAACAAAAGACAAACAATGGTATCGGCCTTTAATAAAACTCACCTTTCAACGAATGATTTCATTAGCACTTCGTTTCGAATTGTTTTAAATCATTAGATTTCATGAAATACCTTGATTTTCTTTAACAATATTAATGAGTTCTAGTTGAAAGCAGCGAATACTATATATGAGTAGTCTTATTAACAAAACGCTGCATAATTTAAATGGTTAAATGGTTCATTTTTTTGAACAAATATTTTTTTCTATTTCATGAGCATTACGATAGCCCACGTAAATTATAAAACATTCATTTATACGAAAAGTTTTAATTTTATCTATGATAAGCCGTCAAAACGTGTGCGTTTTTTATTCAAAAATAAAACCAACATTGATATTGAAGAAAAAACCACAGAAAAATAGATGGCAATTTGAAAACTAATTGATGATATAAAACTATTCTTTTTTTAATCTTTTGTTGCTGCCTTGTTTTGTTTGTTTTCGCTCTAAAATGAAACTAGAATAATTTCACTTTGCATATATGATTCTTACTTTTAATAAATTCTTCTACATGCTCATATGTAATTGAGTTTAACAAAGTCATAAAATCTATATTGTCTAAAACTACAACAAATATTTTCGATCACAGATTTGTTAAGAAGGAAGCAAAATTTTACTACCTTGTTTGTTGACGCAATCTTTCATGGCGTCTCGAATTTTACTCATTTGATCGTGAATTTTTGATTTCCTGAATAATCAAAATGAAACTATTTATGTTAAAGTGGAGACACAGATATAATTATTATACCATTTAAGAGCCATCAAAGAGTCATCAATCTTTCCATGTTGCTCGACAAACTGAATATTAGTAAGTACATCTAAAGAAGAAACCTGCATACTGATATATTAAAAAACTCTTACAGGTACCTTCCCAGTTTTTCATCTCGTAAAAAATAGTTGCACGTTTTGAATAGTATTCAATCAGATGAGATGTATTAGTAGATGAATTAATTAGGTTTTTCAAAAACTAGAATTAATGTCCTAATAAGTCAAAGAGAAAAAATGTAAAATATACCTTTAATTTCTCGACATTTGGATAGTCGACATTTTCAAACACATAGTTGTATTGAGATAACATTGCGAAAGATAAATAGTTAATAACTAAGAATCGATGATATCAACTTAAATTTTTGCTGTCAGTTGTTTGTTGTGTTCGTCTTATATATATATTGAATAGAATCGAACTAAACAAAGAGAACAAAGGACAAGGAATCGAAGAATCAGTCTATAATGTGATTAATCAACCAATAACGATGAGTAGTTAGATGAAAATGAGAATAACGAATCCTATTAATGGCATCTGATTTCATCCTTAGTATATCAAAAAAATCCACGGTACAAAATCGAAGTGAAGGCTGAAGGTATTGTTTCGAATTTTTTTTTCTTCGAAAAGATTCTGAAATAATTAGCTTTTTAAACATTCCATAGATAAAATTGAACATTGTCGAATTCTACGTTAATTATTGTGGAGATCACACATATTTTTGAAAAAGCTGTTAGCGCAATCCCTGTGGGATCAGAATGTAAAACACGATGTAGTTGATTTTTCATAAATACGAAGATATTTGAGGTTGATACAGCCCATGTCCCAAAAATCGACTCACTTTTGACGATTAATCGGGATTTTTCAAAAATAAATATACTAGAATATTCTATGTAAATAAAAGATTATTTTTTATTCTTTTTAACTACGATAGAATCAACTTGAATTGTTTTTATGCGATATTTTATAAATTAAATACATCACTATAAGAGAAACTATTTCAAGTTCTAAAAAAACTGTTGACTTCAGTTTTCAAAATAAAGCTCTCGTTGCATTTTGAACTATTTCAAGCAATTCTCCGTAAAATTCTGCATCTTTGAATGCATGTTTTCGAGTTTTGCAAGAAACATTTGGGAGACAGGTTTGTTCCGAATTAAATTCTACATCGGATCGGATCGGATGTGTATGTTTGTGTTTTTATGTGATTACTAGCGACACATTTGTAAGAATCTATTGATTGGTGCAATCTGACTATTCCACAATTGATCAATATAATCTATCTTCATTTAACTTCATCACAACAACTCGATCTTATTTGAACTACTATTCCTATTTTTTTTTAGTATTTTGATTATTTGTAGCAAAACCAAAACAACAATGGTTAAGACGAAAACAAAACCTAAAAAACGTCGTACATTTGCTACTGATAAACATAATTCAAAAACTCGTGTCGATACAGTAAATAAAGTCAATCCATTTGATCTTCATGTTAATCGTTTAAAACATGATGTACTCGGTAAAAAACGTAGCTATGAAAGAGGTGGTCAACCACTTAAATCTCGATCACGAGGAATAGAAAAAGTATTTAATCAATTTTTTTGTGTTGTTTTTAATATAATTTTATTTCATAGAGAAAACGTACACTATTAAAAGAGTTAAATTCAGTATTTAAACGAAATACATTTATTGATCATCGTATTGGTGAAAATGATCCAACATTAACAAATGATGAAAAACTAATGCAACGTTTAATTGCAGAGCGAACCGTTAGTCTAATTTGTCAAATTCTATTTTTAATTAATTAATATCTTTTTTTTTTCGAACAGAAAATGCGTCCTGGTAAAGAAAGTCGTTATAATTTAAATGACGAAGAAGATTTAACACATTATGGTCAATCACTTTCGAAATCCGATGAACTCAATCAAAAGCCGATTATTGATGATTATGATGATGATGATGATTTACATAAAGGTCGTTTGAATTCTGAACATTTTTTTGGTGGTTTTAAAGCTTCAATTGAACAACGTAAACCACAATCAAAACAAGAATGGATTGAAAGTATGATTAAAAGTACAAAATTAGATAAATATGAACGTCAACGTGAAAATGAAAAAATCTTCGATATGACACAAACGCTTGATGAACAATGGAAAGCATTAAGTACAATTATGGGTATTAAAGATAAAAAACCGAAAGAAACAAGAGAAACATCGGATGATTATGATAAACTTGTGGCTTCATTAAGATTTGAAGCAAAAACAACCGTTCGTTATTAAATTACTCATTTTAAAAAAGAGATCTTAACTTTTTTGTTGTCTTTTTACTCGCAAGGGTGCACCAGTTAAAACTATTGAAGAAACAGAAAAAGAAACAGCAGAAAAATTAAAAACATTACAAGTAAATAAAATAACATAATCAAATTTTCTATTTAATTGGTGAATCACAATAGGTTGAAGAAAGACAACGTATGGAACAACCAACATTGAAATCAATTTTAGCAAAAAATAAACCACAAAAGCATATTTTTGTTGAAGAATTAGATGAAAGGTTGGAAAGATTTTTTTTATTTCTAAAAAAAATAAAATTTGTCAAATAGTTATTATATCATGGATGGATCGAAAAAACGGGTGACATTTGATGATGATGAGGCTATGAACAATGAACCTGTACCACCGATCGAGTCAGATGAAGTAGTACCACATGAAAATGATTCGATGGCAATGGATAATGGAGAAGGCGAAGAAGAAGAAGAAGAAGAAATTGATCAAACAGTATGCTCTATCAAACTTTGAAATATTGAATTTCATCGTTTATTTTAGACAAATGGCGATTTAATTGCAGAATTCGAAGAAAGTATGTTATTTGAATTTTTCTCACTCTGAAAATAATCCAGTTTATATGCTTAACACTACAGTAGACTTTCCAAATCTTGAGCGACTAAGACAGATCTAAGAGGTTGAAATAGATTCTAGTAAAATTTTCTTAGTTTCACTCAAACTTGCCCATAACCATAAAATGAAGCCGAACAGCTAGTTATCTTCGTTTGCCCTTCTAGAAATCTATACATTTGTACACATTGTATTTTTCATTCTAGTTCCATCAGATATTGAAAAACTTCAAACTCGTCTATCTGAAGATAAAAATGCATTGAGCACTATCTGGAAACGAATCAACGATAAACGATTACCGCCTATACCAAGATTAGTTTTAAGTGTAAGTTTGTGTTTTTTCTTTATGTGCTAAAATAAATGTCATTCATCATCTAGAACTATTTCGATGTTCTGCTGGATTATTATGAATCAGTTACATCAAATCAAACGTTGTTGAATCACATTGGTAAAAATCTTCTTCACCTAGTACAATTAGCTAATAATGAACAAACAAAAGGCAATATACAAAGTCGCTTAAGGCAATATCATGATAATTTAAGTGAACAAATTGAAAATGGTAAATTTTGTGAAATAGATTCATCATTCGTACGTTATGTCACGGCTTCTGTCTTTTTCTCTCTAATGAAAATTTCCTATTATTTATTAGATTGTTTTTTTTAAATTAATCGCTCATCTCTATCCAACATCCGATTTTTGTCATCCAATAACAACACCAGCCATAACATCACTTGTTCAAGCGATAAATCATGTATGAATTCTATTCGAAAGAATTAGGAAAATTTATTTTCTTCGTTTTTTGTTTTTTTAAAGAGTTCTCTAAAATCTCTTCATTCATGTCGACAAGCATTATTTTTAATTGGCTTAGTAAAACAAGTAAGACAAGATTCATAAGTAGAATTTACTTCTATAACAAATTTTTTCTTCAGTGGGTATCAAAAAGTCATCGCTACGTTCCAGAAGTCACTGTTTTATTAACAAAATTAATTCAACTTGCATGTCCAATTGAAAAATCTCAATATGTTATAACCAGTTCATCGAAACAGATCAGCAATAATCAATTACTCGTTTTGAATAAGAATAGTGACTTGTAAGTTTCTAAAAATCTACGACTACTTGACCTTGTCTCATACGCCATGTGGTGGTACCCTTAACTTTCGAATTGATAGCTAAACACATTTCATCTTTTATTTTATTGAGATGCATATAAATGTCACCCGAAAAATGATCTTAATTATTTCGATTTTGATCAAAACATTATGAAAATTTCTTTATAAACTTTCGATCTCATTACAATTATGAGTTCAGTTCATTTCCTAGATAATCAATATTGATTTTATAGGAGCATTTTCATCATCATTAGAACACTTCAATGAAAAACTACATATTTATATTTTATATTATTTTTTAGATCAAATTCAAATGAACCAACCGTTTTTGACACCAATGAACTCGATGATGATAATGATCAGCATCGGTAAGAAATAGGAGTCTCAAGGAACTAGACTTCATCATTCTATAATCTTTTAAATTGATTTAGTGCTTTAATTCTTCGAACTTGTCTCAATCATCTAAGTGATTTTCTTAAAACTTACGAATCACTTTCGGCTATTGTGGAAATCGCCCAACCATTTAAATCTTTTCTTACGACGATTGCTGATACATCCAAATGCAGTCAAATATCGGTAGAAAACTTCTTATGTTTTAATTATAATTCAATTAAGATTTTATTTAGTCTCAATGCCGAGAGATTTTAACTTTAATTGATAAAATTCAAACAGAATGTCTTTCAAATCGTAAATATCTTGAACAAGGCAAAGAGCAAGCAAAAATGTTACGATTGTTTGAACCTCGTTTTGGACCAGTGTATGTTGAAAACATTTTTTTTTCTTTTTTTGTTTATTGTTTTGATATTTCGGAAATAGATACGAAGGTAAAAAGAATACCCGCTTACCGAAAGATTATGCTGAACGTCTTCGTCTTCGGCAAAAATATAAACGTGAAGTTAAATCCGTTTCTCGTGCACTTGTGCTTGATAATCAATTTATCTCACGTGAAGAACTTAAACAACAAATGGAAAAGTATGTTTTTCGAAAATTTATATTTTAAATTGTTTTCTCTAACCATCTGCTTTTTCTCTCTCTCTCTCTCTTCCTAGAGATGCTCATCGAAAACGCAAAGTCAAAGATATTCAAGCCGAAATATCCATGCAAGAAGGAGAATACCGAAAATTACAAAAAACCAAATAATTGTTATTGCTGTTATTGTTGTTTTTGTTTTTGTTTTCGAAATAGAAAAAATAACAGAATTAACATCTGCTTTTTTTTCATGTTGTTAATTTTTTCTATTCTGAAATTTATAGATGACCGATACCGATCGTTCTCAACCATTGAATGTACCTCGTGGTGGTCGTTCATCACGATATCGAACACATAGTTCAGGAAGTTTATCATCTTCATTTGGCTCTCCTTCGGGTTTAACCAATATAAATAATAATAATGGTGGAACAACATTGGCACATAGCAAAAAAACAGCCGCAAGTTCTAGTGGAAATAATAATATTGGTTCACTATCAACCTCTATGAATAGTGGTAATAGCGGGGGTACATTGCCACAATTCGATGAGAAGCATGCAGCAGCTGGAAATATTTTTGAACATCGTCAAGATTGGTCAATACTTAATCGTTTACCATTACATAAACGAAATGCCATACATATTCGACTTGAAGATGAAGGTCCTTATGGAAATGATGAAACACGATGTTTTGTTTTATCTCAATTATCTATGGTTGGTTGCACAGACGTAACATGTACAGTTTGTGGTCAATCGATGGTTGTCTATGATCGATACCCTCTTGTTGACGGGACACTATTCTTGAGGTAATTTTTTACCAAATGACACTGTCACGATGACATGACCAATATTAGACAGTTGCAGAGGATTTTCGACCTCGCATTATATTAAAAATAACAGACTATTTTAGCCTTCCACTTTTTTTATTTTGTTTTGTTTTCTAGTCCTATTAAACATAGCGAAAATGGTAAAGTTTCGATCGCTGTTTATCATAATGATCGGCAATTATATTTGCATGGCATATGTCTAGAATGCTTATCCATGCGTTCATTACATGTGCTCTGTCGTCTATGTAAGACGAAGTTCAATTTTGATCCAATTATTTTTGGTACACTCTATTATTATGGTATGTTGATTAATCTTTTGTTTATCTATAATTGATTTTGTTTTCTCGCTTGTTAGATCTGTTTGCAGCATTTCCATGTTGTCAAGCGAGATTATCATGTTCTAAATGTTTTCAACCAATTGTTTCTATAAAAGATGGTCTTATTAATTTTAGTAATTATTCATCCGAATTTGAATGCGGTCATTGTGGATCGAAAAGTCATCATTTTGTTAAATCATTTGATGAAATATTTGAAAAACGATTGTAAATTACGCAACATTTATCTTAACTACTTATACATGTAACTATTTTCTTAGTTAGAATATATATTGAGATTTATGGTCTTCTATATTTTTTCCTCATTGTAAATAAATCTAATTCAAAAGTGAATATTTTTCTCATCAATAACAATTTATTAGTGATAACGAGTTCAATATCAAATGGATAAGTATGTTTAATCTATTTATGCCTTGGTATTATCACATATGTTATCAAAATATCAAAATAATTAATTTACGCATGCGTCTATATTTCTAGTTGATTTGAAAAAAAAGGAATACGTGTGAGATAAGAAATAGAATTTATTGATATATAACGACCTACAATTGTACAAATGCACCTTGCTTTTCTTCTTTCTATTGCAGATGTGTCTGATTATCGTTATCTTCTTTTTCTTAAGTCTATAGAAGACGTTTATGAAACGACAAGACATAAGACCACAATGTATAACGCCTACGATTCTGCTTGTCGAATTATCCATAATACAAGCAGTACGCGGGAAATCGCTATGAGTATTATCTTTTATATACGTGTAGAAGAGATCGCGCGCGAGAGAGAAAGACAGAAGAAAAAAATAGAGGATAACATCAGAAAGAGACAGAGAAAGAATATATGTATAAATGTATATATATATAAGCCATTTTCCTTCTGATTTTGGTTCGTCGAACGCAAAGGGAGCAAGGATAGATTTGTGTTTTATCACTGTTTATTTACGGTTACGTGTTTCCACAAAAAGATTCTATTCTGGTAAGTAAGAAAATCAAGCATCATTCCGATAAACTGAATACCAAAATTAGAAAAGAATGATGCTACATTGCTTGAAGAGAGAAGAAATATATACGAGCTATTACTAACATATATGTTATACGGATATTTTGCATATCTTATCAAATACATTTATATAGAGAAATAATTAATAAAATCTCACTAAATATTTGAAAAAGAAATCAAACGATTAAATATATAATATTGAAAAGAAATATTTTCTTTTTTGCCTATTTGTTAAAGAGTTAGCCTTACAGGCAAGGATATGTTGTTATTCCTTGGTGAATTGCGATTTAGCATCTACATGTTTCCATAATGAAAATGTCAAGGATTTTGTCCTTGTATTCATTTATTTAAGGTTATGAGATCATCACAGCTATTTCTTAAGCAATACATCTATTGTTTTTCTTTCTATTAAGTACAATAATTTTGGCTATATTCCAAAATATTAACAATTACGATTAAAATCGACGATAATTTATACTCAGAAAATAAATTTACTCATAGCTTTGAGTATGTTACAAGAAAATAATACATCAATAAAATATAAGATTACTAATAACAACAAAAGTACATCAGCAAAAAAAGTCATGGGTCGTAAAAAGATTAATATAACGCGGATTAATGATGATCGTACGCGTCAAGTGACATTTACAAAAAGAAAATTTGGTTTAATGAAAAAAGCTTATGAACTATCGGTATTATGTGGCTGTGAAATAGCATTAATGATATTTAATAATAACGGTCGTCTATTTCAATATGCATCATCCGATATGGATAAAGTTTTATTAAAATATGCAGAATACAATGAACCACATGAATCATGTACTAATACTGATATAGTTGATGTAAGTGTTCTTTTTTATCCTCTTCAATTGTTCTGAATTTCATCGACAAAAATAGATCTTAAATAAAAAACATTCAGCTATGAAACCAGCAGCAAGTGGCAGCAGTGAGGATACTGAAATGATGGGAGATAACGATGAAAGTAACGAACCAACATTTGCTGAAAGTGTTAATAGTGTATGTATTTAACATATTCCTATGGATTCTTCAGTACAATCATTCCTTATCATTCATTTAGTTTCTTGTCACTAGCAATCTCAACTGTTCATCATCAAATAGCAATAGCCACAATATGACATTCCTTAGTAATAATAATAATAATAATAATTCTAATAATACTACAAGAACAGTTCTACCCGATTTTCAATATTTAACATCTCCGTCTGATGAGCAACAATTATCAACAACCATAATAAATCACATTCCCATTTATCCTATTCCGAAATCTATTGATGCTAATCAATATGGAAATAACATTACCAATAATGCTAACCTTCACTCAAGTACAACTCATGTAAGTAGGCGGAAAAAAAAGACGATTTACATAAGAATACAGAACAGAATGAAAACAAAGAAGATTTTCAGGTAACACAATCTCCACATACACCGATGAATCATTTTGTAGCTCAGCAACCAACAACACATATTGGCCGTATAATGACAGGTAAACTAGATGATTTCCATCTAAAGCAAAAACCTTGAAATCTTTCATTTTGTTTCAGTTGGTCCAGATATGAGTGTTTCGTCGATTGATCTCAGTGCACTTGCTTCACAATTGACGTCAAATTTTTTGGCATCTTTAACGAATGCTGCCGTTGTTACAACTGCTGATAATTCATCATCGGCAATACCTATGAAGTAAATATATATAAATATCTATGCATATGATTACCTCAGGCAAAAAAGTTTTTTCTCTCAAAATCTTAGTTTAATAAATCGAGATTGTCAACCAACAAGTATTGGTCGAGGTCAAACAATTATGCTAACGAATAGTCCGAATACCATTGTACTTACTGGCCAACAACAACAATTGCAACCACAGCCACAATGCCGAAATATTATTAAACAAGAACCCATTCTCTACACGACGACAACAGCAACAACAACATCAGCTGCCAGTAGAAACGATTTGTGCTATGAATCGAACATTAAGCAAAACCGTTTATGGCAATAATAGACATACATTTCCATCAAAACAAATTCCATCTAGAAAAACAAAAAGCAATTTTTCCAACGCATAATTTCAAAGAGTTCTTCGTTCTTTTCCGTAAACCATTTCTTACTGCTACCCCTTTATTATTCGTGTAATTCATACGACAATTTATCTTGTATCTATTCCGAATACTATCTATTTTTTTCTCTTTGTTTGATTTGTGTTTTTATACTATCGTAATCCTTTTCTCTGGAAATAAGTTATGCATCTATTTTAGAAAACTCGATTGTGTTTTTGGTTTTATTTGAAAAAAAAAGCAGAAGAATAGCTACTATCTAGAGAAAAAAATAATAACTATTTTTATCTTCAAGGGCAAACAAAACATCAGAAAAAAATTTATAATTTAAAATCTCATATTCGAAATGTTTACGTGTAGAGATAGATCTAAGTTGCTGTCAATAGCTACAAAATTTATTAGTGTATATATAGTAAAACCTCTTTACATGGGCACCCCTATAACACGGGGCACCTCACTTGTATGGACACTGGGCGGAACGACCGATCAATTTTTGCTGAGTATGAGTCTCTCTAACAAGTGCACCTCTAACCTCGAATAATGGGCATTGTTTTTTCAGTCCATAGTGCACATTTACCTCTCTCACATGGGCAGATATAGTGAATGTTATAATAAGAGTATAAATACTATTGCTTTTCTTACATCACATATTGATATCATGTAAAAAATGACGTCGTGCCATTATCTTCCTATTGATAAGAAGATTGAATTGGCCAACGACTACGGTGATGGACCTGGGCTATCATAACGCGTAAGCTATGTGAGAGATACAAGGTATCGAGGGTGCGGGTGTACTTCTTTTATGAAATCACGCCCTACATCCACACCCCACACCCAACCTCCTTCGCTCGTTGATGCACTTGAAATGGTTCGAAAGCTCCATCTACTCGCCAACCGGAACTTCATCAATTCGTCACTAATCTGAAATCAAAACTTACTGATGCCTACATCGAATAAAAAACTAACCGGCAAAGTTCAATTACAGATTTCTTTCGAAAAGCTTGACTGTAAATATGATGATAGAAAATAAAGTTAAATAAAAAAACTAATCAAATAAATTATACTACAATATTGGACACTATTCAAGATATAAATACCGATTGTATATATAAGTATCGGTACTGTCTATTATGTTGCTTGTGAAAACATTAGTAATCAGTATATATTAAAAATAACTCTATAACGCGGGCACCGTAGGATGGGCGATTTTAAAAAGCCCCGTGGTGCCATCCAAGGGAGGTTTTACTGTATATATATATATATATATCAATTTCTCTAACCAACACTCGTGCAATTCAGTTGTGAATGTCGATTAATGTATTCATTCGCACTTGTATATATATTTGTATATAAATAGAAGCGACCGTCTCTTGTTACGCTTAACAATTTACATGAAGATAATTTATAGATTGCTTGTTTTAGTTACTAATTTGTCTTTTACATCTGATAGTATTAGTATCTGTTGGACGTGTTTATTTTATTATTTAGCTAAGACAATGTCAACAGAATAAGATGAAGAAACAAAAAAAGAAATTGATAATAGTAAATTTTGAGGATAGCAAAGTGTACTTTTATTAGATAAATCTTTTGTTAGAAGTCTCATATATGATTCATCAAGAGAAAAAGATAGTATACTATTATATAATCTATAAAACTAAAGCATTTAAACGTATCATAAAACTTTTTAAAAATGATTCATTGTTTTTTTGCTATGAAATAGTTCATGAGACGTAGAGACTGTTCTTCGCTGATTCAATTTGTTCAGCATTCTACATTCAACTTGACAATGGAAACATCAGCATACACTGTATGATATTGTATTTATCAAAAATATCATATCATGATTTGGCACGAAAGAAAAAAGGAAGTATTCGACTAGAGAGAAGCAAATGAAATTATAAGAGATTCATGCAATATTTGTTTGCTACTGCAAACACCTCGTTTTTTAAGATTTACTTCTCTTATCTTCGGACAACAAAAGCCAAGTGTTAACAATATAGCATCTCTATTTTCTTTCTTTTTTTTGTTACATTTAGAATATTTTATCTTATCATTTTTCTTATTTTACTTCTCTACAAGGGGATAGATTCATATCATTTTCATTTATTCATTTTGAAATAGAAATGATGTTAAACCGAGTTTTATATCTGCTTGCATTATTAATCTCCGGATATTATGCACAAGATACTACAACAATTTCAATAGCTGACTGGAATGGTGATCCGCTGATATGTACAGTCAATCCATCAGCCCCGACTACTAGTGATAAACCATTCCCACAATTTCCGAAACAAGCAGAATTCACTTTAGAAGCAGTGACAATAAGACATGTAGACAATGCAACATTACCGAGTCAATTAACTTTATTTCAATATCTATATGATTTTGATGCAAATAAATTGATTATGATTAGAAATAATAATGGTTTTATTGATGTTGAATACTCTTATTATGAAAATTTGAAGAAATCAGTTTATATTCGTAACGAATTCTGTCTTGTTGTTGAGATTGAAAAAGATAATCCCATAGGTATGTTCAAAATATATATAAATAATATTGTAAATCTAATTTCTCTCTCTCTCTCTCTCTCTCTCTCTCTGTTATTTTAGATGGTACATCAGCTATTCGATCATCAAATGGTACATGGCATATTCGTCCATTGAATGAATTTCTTCTTTTTTCAAGTAATGATCCACGACAAGAACAAATTCGACCGAGATATTTAGGTGAAAGTGTAGTACGTGGAATTCCAGTTGATCAATGGGAAACTTGTATAATCAATAAAACTAGTCTTAGAACTATCAAACGTACATGGTCATTTGCTAGAAGAGGTTTTGTAACGCCAGTTGGTCCTGTTGGTGATTTTGCTCATCCAATTCAAGCTCTTATAAATGCTTCAATTTTATATCCTAATGGTTCACAATTTCAAGAATTTGATGAAGTATTTGATGTTTATGCATACAGACCTGGCATCGTAGAATCTGCTGAGCAATTAGTTCCACCAAAAGGTGTCTTTTGCAATAGTGGCGTCGGTCAACAATTAGTATCTCTTCGAGATGCTGGCATTTCATGGCCCGAACGTTTTACTGTTCGCGTTGAAGCATCATCATCACGTAGTGCTGATATACAAAAATTTCATTTACGCTATGATCGTGGCCGCGAACGCAATACAAAACGTATTCGTTATGATTATTTACCTAGAAATGGCGGTGATTATGTATCTGTTATACATGATTATGGTACAAATTTAACATATAATATTGATCGTCGTGTAGGTACATGTATAATCAAACGTGGTGTTGACTTTCCTGATGTTAGTCCAACTCGTGATCCGGTTAGTTTTTTTATTAAACATGAAAATGAATTGATTTCTTCACGCGACCGACTATGGGAATACAATGGACTTCGGAGTATGAAAAATTTATATTCTAGTAGATTATTATCTTTTTTATTATAAATATAATGTATTTTAGCATGCCGAGGAAATGGAATAAAATGCGCAACACTAACGACTGCAATTAATAACTTTCCTCCAATAGTTGAAGTGGATACTGGTATGCCAACTGGTGAAACATGGGATTCAACTAATGCTGAATATGCTTGGTCAGTACGTTCACCTTATTCACGACCACCACCTGATATGCAAAAAAGTTTTGATTATCCAGTATATTTATTCTTGAGATTTGTTCAATCCAGGGATCCAAGTAGTCCACCAGCATTCAATTCACGTACAGAAGATATTGAATATGAATTTTATGAAATGTCATATGAAACAGAAGCATCCGATTTTGATACAAGTATTTGCTATCGTTCGCGTGACTTTGAATATTTACATCTTGGTTTTACACTTAAAATTGATACGGCTAATGCTATTGATGGAAATCATTTAGATAGGCGTTTTCTTCAAAGAGAAGTTCATGCGACCCTGGCTGATAGAATGGACATAAAGTATTCTCGTATTTCCGATCTTAATGTTTTTCATGAATCTGCTTCTAATGAAGTTACTGTTTTGTTTACTTTACTTGGTCCAACACCAGAACCTGAGTCACCAACCGGTGTTTCTAATACAGAGACAACAGCTGCAATATCAAGAGATACTCTTCAAAGTTCAATAAATGGTGGAAAATTTCAATTCTCCATGAAACTGTCTAATGACATGACTACGGATGTTGTATTCACAGGTGTGAGCGGTTCATTAAAAAGCTCAAAACAAATTATGTCATCCCATGCAGCTGGAAAAAAAAGTTATAATGAATACTATACAAGTGGTGCGCAAGCGGGTGCTGTTATTGGTGGGATAATTGTTGGATTGCTTATCGGTGTTATTTTAGCAGCTGTATTTCGAATATGGCGTAAAGAACCTATGCCAGATATAAAAGCGCTACCAACTTCATTTTCAAATCCTCTACGACCACGAGATACGCCAAATAATCAAAAAATAAGTTTTTATAACAAAAAATCGGCAGCTGAAGAAAAACCTACAACCGATGCTTGAGACTATATAGATTTAAAAAAAACTTGAATATGTTTTTATTCCTCTATTTCATCTTCTTCTTTTTAAATAAAATCAAGAACAAACAAATATTGTTGTAATAAATAGTAAAACATTATTATTGTTACTATTATTGTTTATTCAAACTTTATCGTGAGCAGATATCCAAAGGAACGATGTCTGACTAACACGCGCTCCACAACAAAAATATGTAGACTTATAAAAAAATTTCATTTCTTATTTTCCAATAACAGAACAATTTTCAATAGAATATAGCATCCGAAGACGGAAGAACAGTTTAAATCTTATGCCACTGAAATAAGACTGATCAAAACGGAAAATATTCAAATTTATTTTCTTGTAGTTATTCGTGATGTTTCTAGTTTCTTTTTCTCACTTGAATTACTATTATTTCGAAATGAGAATTCAAAAAATTTTAAAATGTGAAATAAAAAGAGCATTGCTCTATAATCAAATGTATAACATCATCCATATGGGTTTGATTTAAGGAAAAAATTTTTATTATTAAATTAACATGGCAAAAACGAAATCTTTTCTACTGATAACATTATAATAGTTATATCTGATTCTTCATTGATAAATCAATTTTTGTAGAGACTGGAAATGAAATACAAATTATATGATGAATGATTACTTTTGACACTTGTTTTGAATGCACGAACAGAAATTAGAAAGGAAAAATTCCGAAAATAAAACTTTTAGAAATGTCGAAAATGATCATGTACGGAAGGAGAAATTCTCTCGCCATCACTCTCACTGTTGCATCCGCATTTTCAGTCTTTGATTTTCTTTTCAACATTTTACCTTTCTATCTGTTCCCATCATACCGTTGTTTTGCTCAACAAAAGTGAATAAGAATCGTGAGCAGTCTATTGGGTTGTTCATAAGACAGGCAATAAAAGAACGAAGAAAACTATGCAAATCAGATAAAAAGCAGACATATCCATCATCGCTGCTGCGATGACATTCAAAATAGTGTCTTGATTTTTTAGACTGTGACTGGTTTAAACTAGAACTGTTTCTGTGGCTAATCGATCAGATTAGCTATTTCTTACGGTATAGAATAACTTAAACCTGATATTCTGCAAAAATTCATGAATTTTTGAAATCTCTTCTTAAAATAGCTGCCACCGCGACAAAATCGAAAATACCTCTCCCACGCTTCTGTTGCTGTCGCACCACAATAGACATCTCTGATGACAGTGACAAACCAAGTATAATTAATAGCGAGACTGGGGCCGCGATCAGAAAAATGTGGACCTGTAATTCCCTAAGAGACAGAAACAGTAGTATATGACAGGTTAAACACATGACCGCAAACTGATAAAGCCTTTTTTCAAATATTTTATTGAATACTAATAAAACTACTATATTGATGTGTCAGGTTCAACTTGCAAATATAAATCCAAAACGATAAAGAGTTAAGTGCATTATTTTTGATTACATAATTTAAAAGATTCGATCAAATTATTGGTATCGTTACAAAATTGAACAGGTAATAGTGACATTGCTTGTTTACCGTGCTCTAGTTTTCATTTAATATATGTATTATCTATTCCATATCCGATATCGTGAACAAAAAAGCTCTAGCTTTAGCTATGTAACTTATATACATAAACTAATGCAATAGATATGTGAAAATAGTGTCATTCGACTGAGAGAGAAGTGGAAAAATCAAGCCATTTATATGAGATTTATGTAACTAAAAGTTGATAAAATTCACTAAATATCCAATTGTTTTTTTCGTGATCGATTAAACCTAAGTTCAAGTTGGTATGTTAAACACAGTATTCCGATTCATCCGTCTATTTCATAAGATTGTTTTACTATTTGACTAAATCCATGAATGAAATTCTTTTTCTCTTCAAAAACGTGGAAAACTATTGAAAAAAGTTCTATATAATGTTATCAGCTAGTTGAGTATAGAATATCTTATACTGTTTCAAAATGCGGCAAAACTCAATTCTTCACTTGAATATAGACAATGGAAGTGACGGCCGAGAAAATTACTCATTTAGCTAATAGTTACTTTTGCAAGTAGAAAACCAGTATTTACTGGACCAGTAGACCAGTATAATACTGGTACTGGTGCGTCCCTACACCACAGTCATAACATTTTTCCAAGAGACTCTTTGTCATGCTATTTATATATATCGAAAAATAATTTCTTGAATGCTACCAAACAGTATATTTTTAAGCTATAAATATGAATTTGCATTGTTGATTAATGTTTCGTTATCGTTATGTACTTCAAAATTCGTGCAAAAAGAATCAGTTTTGCAAACGCTTGTTTATATTTTCTTTATTTTTTGAATTAATAAAGATCATAAACAATGATTAAAGTTTTTTAATAATTGTAATACTTCAATCGTGATTGTATCTCCTTCTGTTTTCGATTTGGTTTAGTTTTTTTTTTTGATATTCAATTGCCACCCACTGCAATATTTATACCAATATCAAGTATTATCATGCACTCAACGAAATGGTTCAACATTTGCACGGCTAACTTATTTTGCTAATTCAATTTTTCTTCTTTAAAATAATTCATCACTTCTATGTGAAACAAGTTTTAATTAAACATTTCTTTTATTGTTTTGCAGCGCTATCTACAATGTACTGATTCGTTTTTTCGGTAGGCCCAATCGTGTCTTAAACACATATCAATGTTATTCACCAATACTTTTAAAATGCCATTATTGAAAAAAAATAGGATTTCATTTGTCTAGTGTCGGACTTTAGGGAAATTTCCCACATAAAGATTCGAAGTATAAAGATTTGCCGGCAAAAAGTATCTGAACAACGAATAGAATCCAAGAAATAAGCTTTCGAAAACCATTGAGAAGAATACTGTTTGATTGCTTTTTTTTAAATATTTTTAGCCGAAAGTATGAATGAATGTCAAGATAATCGGTAATATTCTCTTAATTTTCATCTTCTTGAACAGTTTGTTGAATTTGTTTTTTCCCTAATTTAGAAAATCTGATATTTCTTCGCCAACTGAATCCAATGATAGCGGAATAAATATCAATACTCAACGAACAATAGAAGTTAGTGTTCGCAATGATTTCGATATTGTCTATGAAAAATTTCATTTTAGACTACGGATGATAGTAATCTTCCATCAGGTTGGGAGCGTTTTGAAGGTAAAATTTTTCATTAAATAAAATTCATATGGAATAACGAACATTCTTATTAGACGAAGAGAGTGTATATTATTGGCATAAACGAACTGGTACAGTAACACGTGAACGTCCAGAATTAATTATCGATTCTCCATCATCAACACTTTCATCATCGTCATCATCAAATGATGCATGTTTTGAAACGAATTCATTACTATACAAAAGTGAATCACATTCTTCAATTAAAGTAAATAAAAAACCAAGTAGAGAAATACAACTCGATATTTTTGTCCTATTTCTGCGAAAAATGCATAGCATGTGACATGCGACGTAAAATTTCAGCTTCTTTGAAGGATTAAGCTTAGAGCAGAAACTCTATCAAGATTATTTTTCGTCTCATAGATAGAAGTCAAGTAGTGAATTACTTTTCTAAATCAAATTTTACTTTCTAGAGAGATGTACGACCATTCCTCAAGTCAAGGTCTCGATGAAACTTATCTATTTTGATAATATTATAATCTTTATGATTTTGAATCGAACGATATCACAAAAAAAGCTTTGTGTTTTAGCATTGTTTTGAACATTTCTAATACTATTGTACTTTTTCTTGGCTACCTTCTATTGATTATTTGTTGGCATTATTTATTTTAGGCAACTGATGAAACTACGCAACAGCATCGCTTTCATGTTCGGTCTCTTGGCTGGACTACCATTGAGGAAGAAGATTTAACGAATGAACGAAGTAGTCGTGCTGTAAATCGTTGTATTTATGAATCAACACGTGGCATTAACGATGGTATTGGTCGATGGGGCGAAGGAAAGGATCTCTATATGGATATTAACAATACAGATTTGCTTTTAATCGATCCAACTGAAATGACTATTTTACATAAACAATCGATACCATCGATTCGAGTTTGGGGCGTTGGAAGAGAAAATTCAAGGTTTTTATTTTTATTTTATTTTATTAAAGAAATGAAATTCTTTGTTTTTTCAAGAGATTTTGCTTATGTAGCAAAAGATAAAGATCGTTCAGCACACACTTACAAATGCCATGTTTTTCGATGTGATAATACTTCAGCGCGAACAATAGCTAATACATTACGTGATATATGTCGAAATCTAATGATTCAACGTGGTTTATTAAGTAAAACAACTGAGATTTTAGGTGATGGCGTACCTCAACATATAAGGTGGTTATTGATATGAAAAAGAAAATGTTTACATATGTACTTATTTTTTTTTATAGATCAGAATCTTTTACAGAATTGATAATAGCTGATACACCGAGTACTTAAAACCTATTTGCTTCGAATCATGAATTTACTTAAATTTTAATTTCAGTTACATTTCCAACACCAATGGAAGAACCAAAAAATAATCTATCATGTACTTATTTGGGTTGTGTTTATGTAGAAAAGCCAGGTGGAATGGATGTTCTACGACCAGCTATCGAGCAAGTTGCAACAACAGTACCTGAAGATAAATGGCTTCCAGTTTTTGTTGATATATCGCCATCGTCATTAACCATTTCCTATGACAATGTAAGCTATTTTGAGTTTATGACTTGAAATTGTAGAATGCAAACGAGATGTGCATAAACTTTTTTATTACTACACAGCTGTTATGATTCATTTTAATAGGAGTCCAAGGGACAATTACTCGATGTTCGTATTCGTTACTTATCATTTCTTGGCGTTGGACAAGACCCAAGGTAATTTTATTCGAATTTTTTCATATATATTTTTATAGAAAAAAATTTCTTTCAGCTTTTGCGGTATAATTATTCATTGTGCAGATAATTCATTTAAATGCCACGTATTTCATTGTTTACCGTCGTGCATTCAACTTTGTAAAAACATCGAAGTTGCTTGCAAAGTAAGCAAATGTTAAGATTTTCTTAAAAATAATTTTTTTCCCTTTAGTTACGTTATCAAAAATGTCTCGATGCTCATCCACAAGCTGCTCGACAAATCGAAACAACAAAAGTTTGTCATTCACTATAGTCTCATGTTTATCTCTTTACTTTTTTTCCAGAGTTATGGTGCTCAATTAAAAAGTTTTGTTGAATCATTCTGGCTTGGAAATAAACAAGCTACTTAACTATATGCATTCTTTGTCTTATTTATGCTCGCTATCAGATCTTCGAACTCTTTTTTATATTCTTTTTGCTGTGTGATTTACCTTTTGGTTAGAATTTAAAATCTTGTTTTTTTTTTGTTTTCCAATTAAACTTATTTAAGAATAATTTATCTAGATTACAGTATCAATTTTTCAGAGATCACCAAAATAGATTTTTATGAAACATGAGTGAATCAATTATGAATGTGGAAAGTACAGGTAAGTTGAATGATTATGATAGTGTCATTTCTTTTTTTCTGAATTGGAATTTAATTTAGTTATTGATGGAAGTTTTACTCAACCACTTGAAAGTACACGTTTACCTCAAACATCTAATGTAAGAAATTAATAGCATGCTTGTATTTGCTTTATTTTTTGAAATATTCTTTTAGTGGTCACCAAATAATACAACAATACGTTCTTCAAAAACTATACCATGCGTTACAAAATGTATGAATACTATTTTTCATTTTTGACTTTGAATGAGTATATTTAGTAGCACTGATTCTCGTTTACTAGACATGACTTCCTATAAATAGTATGAGTGAAAAGTACTGTATGACTTTTGTCAAGAAAGTCAAGATATTGTCAGTCAAAATTAGATATATTCGATATGTTTCACAAATAGTTGACTAAGATTAATGATGAGATGTGTCAAAGTCGGTTGTTTTGGTATCTGTCATACTAAATCCTTTTCTCCGTAGTTTGTGTCATCGTTCTATAATTAAAGATTAGGTCGCGACTGACAGGAATGTATTTTAGAATTTATTCACATCGCCTCTAGAGATTTGATTGTTCCGCGTGATAAAATAATTTAGTACTAACCTCTTTCATTGTAATAGTTGGCGTCTCGTAGCTTTTCAACGTATCAATTCATTCCGATCAGAAATAATTTCTAGCCCAAAACAAAATTGCCAAAGCTGTGTTAGCTCAAGGATTGTGTCCGGTTCTATTATAACATATCCTTATTGATACTTGCTCACGAGAAAATAAACTACAGGGCAAAATGATTGTGCAGGAACCCTACCAAAATTTTCTTTCATAATCATCGCCTAAAATAACTTTGTTATCAGTTGTTTCCAACCGAGAATAAAAACATATTACTATATCGATGATATTTTGAAAAATGATAAACATTTCCATAGTTCTTTTCGTGTATCAAAACAAAAAGAAACGCTTAAGTTATATTTCATCTAAAAAATACTCGAAAACGGGTCTTCCCTCATTGTTCAATTTGAGATACTGATCCTATAAAACCGAGCAAACTATGCCAGATTCAAAGCATTCTACCGCCTGATTGTCTAGTTTCAATTCAAGAGTTTTTCGTTGACTAATGGGAAAATATATTCCATTTTAGCTGAACAACAACTATACAAATTATATGCTCAAGCATTAGCTGATTCAGAAGTAACACAAGATTGGAGTAGTTGGGTTGAAATGATGGCCATCAATTGTCAAAAGTGTTGTTCTGAAGCGGAAATCTCTCATCCAATTGCTTTTCGTACTGGTCGACAAACGTAAAAAGATGCACCACCAAATCAATTTCTTATCTCTTCCTGTTTTTATATTTATCTACTGTAGACAATTATCTCGCAATATTCGCATGTTACAAGTCGAACGTGATAGTTGGTTATTATGGAATCGAGCACGTGACACATTAAATAATATTCGACAAGACCTCCCTGAAGTGGTAAATATTCGTCATTTAATTAGGCATGAATATTTTTTTTCTCGTTTTAATATTAATAAGATCCCAGGTAGTAGCGATCGATTAATTGTTGAACATCATCTTATCAATGATCCTCAATTACGTATGGCTAAAGCCGTACAAGGATGGTTACAAGCAATAAAACTCGATGAACGTTATCAAGCAGATCTCAAAATGGCTATGACAAAATTAGAACCAAAACGAATTTATTGGTTTGTTATATTCTTAGGTATTTTTTGGTATTTAATTCGTCATTATTTAGGGAAAAAACTTGCCATTTTCTTAAATCATCATATAATGCCAACCTTCCGAATCCATATATAACTTGTTTGGTAAATAAGAAAAAATGAATAATATTTATAGAAAATGATTTTTCATAGGATTTCGATGCTACACATAAACAAAAACGGCGTTTGTGTGATACAGATGAACAAGAAGAAAATGATTTACTTCAAATCGTTTTTTCTTTATTACGTGTTGGAGAATATTCCAAAGTAAATAAAAGAATTTAGTTCAAATAGAAAGAAAAACTTTTGTTTTTATTTAAGGCTAAAAGTATTTGTAAATCAACTGGTTATCATTGGTTAGCAGCGTTGTTATCTGCAAATGAATTATATCATGATGAAAATTACTATTGTTCAGAAGCTAGCGATATTACTTATCCTGTCGAAGGAAATCAAAAACGTATTCAATGGATTGAAAGCATGTATGAACTATCTATGGATGTAAGCAGAATGAATTCTAATAAAAATAATATCGATTGATAGTTTGGCAAAATAAATTTCGGAATTATGTTTTTAAGAAATCTTTCCTTGTAATCAAAATCATAAAATCAATTTACGTCTCATTACTCGCGCAGCGTACGAGGGAATTGTTACTCTTAATCGACTGCGTTTAATTGGAAATTATGTAGACTCAAGTGAGCGATAAATGATTAAAAAGGAACTGGCACCTTTAAAGTATTGCTACAGAGATATTAGTTTCATGCATATTTTCTAATTAAAAAGACTAGCTCACTTCCAAGTCTTCTGATCTAATTGTATCTTGTAAAAGACCACCAGCTCTGTTGGCTTATATAAATGCTACAAGAGACTTGTTAGTACTGCAGTCTTGGCTAAGTCAAAATTATCTGAGACTCATGCAACAATTTATTCTCTTTAAGCCCCTTCTCTATAGCAAGTTGATTCGAAATTGAGCTTTTCTAAGCGAATTCGCGACACTCATTTAAAAAAGTGACCGGTATTCTTAACATATTTTAGTCTAAAAATGATTGATCATTTGCAGAACTACTCTTAATAGATCACTTATATCGAACGATCATTTTCTGAGTGAAATATTGTTGCAATATTTTTTAATAGATGTATTGATTATTTTCTATTCATTAGATGCGTCTAAAATTGTACGAACGAGCCATCTATGGCCTTCTATGTGGTCGAATCGAAGCTTTAATACCTGTTTGCAAGACATATGCTGATTATCTTTGGGCATATACTTCATGCTACATTGAACAAGAAATTCATTATATTCTTATGTAAGTTCAGTAAAACAAAAAAAATTGAAATTCTCCTTTTCATTCTCTGATTGTTTATTTAGGCGTGCTCATGAACATGAATTAACTGATATAGAAAAACATCGGGTTCTGTCTGATCATGGACTAGAAAATCATCAATTGAAGATGCCATCAATATTTGACGAAATTCTTGCTGGTTGTCCAACTCATATACGGGATGAAGCTGTATTACCATTTAATGCAATTCAAAAATATTTGATACTCGCTGATTACGATCGTTTATTTCATAGTATATTATCGTTTTTACATACAAATAGTGAATCAAATGGAAGTTTATTACGTTTTGCCTCACATATTTGTTTATTTTTGTATGAACAAAATCATTCAGAAAAATTCAATCAAAATACTTTTATTGAAATTTTAACAACCTATATTCATCATCTTATTGAACTTGAATTTAAAGATCTTGTGTGCTATTATATATCGAAATTACCACCGAATGATCAATGTAAGCTCATATTTTGACTTTTTGTTTTTATACAGGATCTAAGTTGAGTGTTAAAGTGCAAAATTTCGACTCCTCCTCTCAGCAAAGTGCACATTTCTGTGCAAAAATGCCGAGAGTTCGACTACGAAGAAGAAAGATACGCGCAATATCCCATAGAAGACTAATGGCGTGTTCTAATTTATGATCTAATAATTTTTCTGAAGATTCAGTAAGACTATAGTGAAGGCTATATTTGTCACAAGCTATTATTCATTTCAAATTAAAAGACCTGTGAGTTTTTTTGGAGTGAGTTTTGCTAGGAACTAGTTAGAGATCTACGATTTTTATTTTTTAAAAGTGCAAAAGAAACTGCATCGAATTCTTGTTAGGAGATGTTTTATAAAAATTTGTGAAACAGAAAGTATAGTTTTAATATAAAAGTATTGGAATTTTGATTTTCAGTAGATCGTCAGCATCGTTAACTAAAGCTTGGTGTTAACTTTTTAATATGAATTTTCGGCAGAGTTTTTGACGAAAAATCCACCTTCTAAACTTATAAAAAGCCCTCAAGTTTTGAAAAAAACTTGACGGTGGACCTGAGAAAATCTGGTGATGAGAATCCGATGCGGTTTTATTTCCTTTTTTTTATAAACGCTGAAACTAGCAGATTTCATTCTAGTTGCTAGTAAAAATGATCCCTAAAAATACTCATTGTTGTTCTAATTTGAAATGGATAATAGACATTATTCTATGAATAGTAACAGTAGTTAGTCATTGTTTTTCTTCTTCATTATTCACGAAGTATGCGAATAAGTTTTTTTCAAAAATTAAAATTTTTATGCTTTTTTATTTTAGCAACAATAATGGCAAAATTTTTGGATACATTATCGAATCGACAAGATAAAGAATTCTATTTAAAACAAGGTTTTACATATAAAATTGATATTGATACATCATTATTAATTCTTGCGGGTAACCAACGACGAGATCAAACATTTGATAAAGAAAATAATGAAGAGATTATATCAACAAATTCAAAAAGTCTTAATGAAGTATGTTTATTTGAATATAAGTAGACGAGAGATTTTAATATTTATTTATTTTAGAATGATCATAAACAATTAGAAGCATTAAAATTATTAACAACGTTTTTATCAACACAGACAATAGATGCACTTCGCTTTGCTAATCTAATATGTCGATATTTTCTCAACGATGCAAAATATGAAGGAATTCGAATATCGTTATCGTATTTTCCACACGACATTGATGTTCAT